TGACATATATTTAAGTCTGTATTTAATAAATAGGGACAGATAGATTAAAAGGCTGCAACTTTTTGAATAAGAAGCCAAGTAAGGATGAGTTTTAGTTTATTATAATGGAGATTATAGCTCGTTTGAGCATTGACCATAATTAGAGAAACAGCATAAAAGAGGAAGGCTAAAGCCTGCTGCTGATGCTGATGCTGATGATGATGATGATGATGATAATGATGATGATGATGATGATGATGATGATGATGATGATGATGATGATGATGATGATGATGATGATGATGATGATAATGATCATGATGATCATGGTGATGACAATAATGATGATGATGATGATGATGATGATGATGATGATGATGATGATGATGATGATGATGAAGATGATGATGATGATGATGGCCCGAAAAAAAACCTGGCCCGAGCCCCAGCTATATTTTTTCAAACCTAGCCCCGGCCCCAGTCAAATATCAACCCCCGTTGTTTATTATGTATGACTGTATAATTTCTTTTAATATAATTACTCAATTTGTTGCCCGGAGAACATCTTTCTTCAGAAATAAATACAGTTGTATAGAAATATATATGTTTAGCAGCAATTTTATTAGCCAGATTTATTACCTTCTTTAACTCAATCTCTAATCTATCAGAAGAGCTCATTTTCAACTTCTCTAATGTTAGTGAACAACTCAAATGCATCAAATTGACACCAGCCAGTCATGATGGTATATTATGCAAATTATGCTAGGTTGCATATCATATTCATTTCAAAAGTTGATAACCAGTTTCTACCAACTTACTACCAACTGATTACTGTAAATACACAACGTTATAATATGTTTTGCAAGAAAACAATTAAAATAATTGAACATATACATAATATTAGTTGAGCGTATCCTTGCAAAACATGTTTTAACATAAGTACAAAATAAATTATTAAAAATAATCTTTTTTTTCTTATTAGAATTAAAATATATGCTATCATACAAGTTTTGGAGATCTGCTGTTGACTGCGATATCTCTATAACTTCATTTTTTTTTTTTTTTTGAAAAAGTATTCAATCTCATTAAACAAATTATTCTCATGCCTAAACTTTAGATCAACCTATCATCATGGCTATCAGTCTTGGTCAGGAACCTATCATCAACCTATCAGTCTTGATCAGGAAGGCATGTGATTGCTCCTCATTACATGTTTACAAAAATAATTTTTTTGTTTTGATGATTTTAACATCGCTGTTAACATATTTTAAAAGTTTTAACATTTCAAAAATGCGCTGAAATTATTTACCTAGACTTAACTTGAAGAAAAAAACATTTTAAAAGAAAAGAAATCCTAACAAAATAGATAAAAAAAGAACTTTACTAAAACATAAAAAATAAAAATATAACTTATCTAAGTTAAAACTCAAAAAACTGAGACTAAGATTATTTAAACCAAGTTTTAAATTAAGTTTGGAATAATAAACTTTGAATCATCTTTACTGATGTTTTTATAATAAAATAGGAAACTGTTAAAAATAAAGTAACAATTTCTAAGAATTGATTAATAAATAAACATATTTTTTTTTAAATTATAAACATATTTTTTTATTAAATTAAAAATAGTAAGTTTCCATATAAATACACGTTAGTAAATAATTATGCATTTAAAAAAAATTTTTTTTGCTCTTTTTAAAACCATTTCATGCTTTGTTTAAACATACGTTTTTTAAATATACATTTATTTAGAGAAAGTAATACATAATAAAAGAATTACACATTTGTAATTCATCACATGAATTTAAACATTATAAAGAAAAAATCTTGAAATCATTTCGTTAAATAAATAAAGTAAACAAAACAAAAAAGTTCTTTAATATAATTATAAATCTTATGTTATTTTAGATTCTTTAATAATTTACTTTTTTGTTACTTTATAGTAATATAAAAGAAATAACAAATCATTTTCATTTCAATGGAAAGCTCTTTTTTTTGTCAGAAGTCTTTGTAAAGTTAGAATAAAAAATTCATTAGGAGTGATTATTTACTTTATTTTTGAGAGTTTTATTATATATAAACATTTGTAAAGATTAAAATTATTTAATTCTAACGGCTTTCAAAAACATTTTTTATTTTTTGCAACAATTTTTTTTTGAGTGTATCAATTTTAGTTATTCTCATATAAAACTTATTAAAAAGACTATCATTGTCTAAAAAAGTTGTCATATAGAGTTAAAAATTATTAAAAAAAAAATTTATTGGTTAAAAAAAATGCATACTCAGATAATTTATGTATAAATAAGAAAAAAACAACTTTCATTGATGCTTTGAACAAAAATCATCATCAAAAATTTGAACTTTGTTTAAAAATATATTCGCTAATATAAAAATATTAAAAGTTTGATATTATTTTTTTATAACGTATAATTCATGTATGTACAATGTATTCATAATCTTTTTTATTCAGCAAGTTTTTAAAATGTTAAAAGCCAAGGTCAAATCATCAAACCAAAATATTATTAGCCTGGTCATATAATGCATGCCTTCCTAATTCACTAATATAACATTTTCCACTTCACTAATATAACATTTTCCACAAGAGCACTCTACTTTATAAACAGGATATTTTTATTATGAATACGATATATAAGGATGAATTAATTTTTTACTTCTACCTAATCTACTTCTACCTAAAAATGTGAATGTGTATCAACATTTTTTTTCAATATAAAATCTTTTATCATCTTGAATATCATCAACATATCTTTTAAATGATTTGACATGAATTTTTTAGTTATATTTTAGTATTAGTTACTTATAACAAATAACAAATTTAGAGTGGTACAACCCACAGATTATGGGAAATCAACAAGAATGACTAAATCTCATCCTTGTTTTCTTTGATGTGATTAGTTTAACATCTCTAATATATATATATATATATATATATATATATATATATATATATATATATATATATATATATATATATATATATATATATATATATATATATATATATATATATATATATATATATAATTGATGATTGATGACAATTCTCTAAAATTTATTTTTCTCTAAAAGCTCTCTAAATCTATCATGCACTAATATTTGTGGTCTTCAAAGTAATTTTTCTTCTGTTGAATCTTATCTCTTGCAAAGTTCTTTGTGAGAGTTTGAGTTCAGCTGTTTTATCTTGTGATCTTAATATTATTCTTCCTTTAATTTGTTTGAGACTCTAATAGTCACATGATTGGCCTGGAAATTTACATATGTAAGAATTCGTCTATATGTCGGGAAACTAGGTTTGAATTCACAGGCTATTCTTTTATGTGCTTTCGCGTAGCACCACTTCACTCTATCACTTTTCTCTTTGTTCTATATCGCTCTCCTTCATCTCAAGACTGCACTCTTTTTTACGTTATTTCTGATTAAACTGACCAAGCCCTTTCCCTTTATCCTTCAGCCAATATCGTTATTGTTAGTGACTAATACTCACCACACTGAATGGCTTGGTTCTAGTGTCAGTGACTCTGCAGGTGTTAAGGCCGACAACTTTTGTCTTTTTCAATTTCTAACATAGTAGTCAACTTTCAAACTTGTGCTCTAGACAGTCTGATTAATTTACTTTCTCTACTCGACTTATGTCTTGTTTCTAATCCTATTTAGTGCTTAGTTTTCCACATTCACCATTAGGTGCTTCTGATCATGGTTTGATCTCTCGAATCTGAAGCTGTTGCCTATACTTTTCAAAACTATTTAACAAATGCTTATTATTATAGTCTTGTTTTCTAGCCTGCTGGAAAGCAGCATCTGTTATTCCTATTTTTAAAAATTCTGGAGAGCAATCTGATTTGTCTAACTACCATCCCAATAGTCTCCTAATAAGCATGATAATAATGGTCTCCTTACTATCATAAGCAAGGTTTTTGAGTCTTTAATCAATAAACACTTTCTGATCATCAATGTATATTTCGATCCTCTTGTTCTACTGTTGATTTGTAAATGGTAACAGCCGATAAGTTTTATCATGCATTAGATTGGTGTGGAGAGGTTAGAGCTATTGCTCTTGATATTTCTAAAGATTTGATAAAGTTTAGCATGCTGGTATTCTCCATAAGCTCTTTTCTCACGGTGTATCAGGTTATATCTTTGAGATTATTGAATCCTTCCTTACCAATTGTAGTATAAAAGTTGTCCTCGATGGAAAGCACTTTTTTTCATTTCCTGCAAATTTAGGTGTTTTTTAAGGTTCTATCCTTAGTCGTATACTTTTTTTAATTTACATTATCGATCTCCTGGAAGTATTCACATCTAAGGTGGCATTATTTACTAATGATACTACCATTTATTCTTGTCTTGATTTTAAGTCAACATTCTGATTGCTTAGAAGGGGCATTTGATTCATTCTCTTCAACTTGTTTTCCTGATTCATATAATTTGTAATCTTTTAAGTCATCTGTGAATCTTTTTTTTGTCCAGTAACTTCTGACTCTAATAGTGGTTGCTTGCAGTCTTGTTGGAAGTGAATATATATATATATATATATATATATATATATATATATATATATATATATATATATATATATATATATATATATATATATATATATATATATAAGAAAAAAAGTATTAGATTTTCGACATAATAATTTTTTTTACATGTATAATTTTTGGTGTTAAGTGAGGAGTAGCTTAAGAAACAAAAAATTAGCAAATAAATTCATAATTTAATGAATTTCCAAAATGAAAGTCCAAAAAGTGAATAATTATCAACAATAGTCTATTTGCATGTGAAAAGTTTATTTTTAAAATGCAAAATGAGCAATTTTATTTTTATGTAGCACTTGAATATTGTTAAATAATATCCGCATATATATATATATATATATATATATATATATATATATATATATATATATATATATATATATATATATATATATATATATATATATATATATATATACATATGTATGTTTCAGTATGTCTCATTAATTTTATTTTTATTTTTAGAGTTTAAGTTTTAACATGAAGCCTGGAGAAACTATTGCTTTGGTTGGTCCTTCTGGTGGAGGGAAAACCACTGTTATGAGTTTACTGGAAAGGTTCTATGATCCATGTTACGGAACAATATATTTTGGTATGCAAATATTTTGGTTAAAAGTTGTTTTAAAATTTAATTTTTACTTGTGATTTTTATCTTGTATCCTATTTTGATCTTTAATTATTTTGATTTGCTTTTTATGATAAAGTTGTAAAAAAGCATGCTGCTTTAAATGATCATGCTATTAAAACTTAAAACTTTAAATGGTCACACTGTAAAAAATTGATAACATCCATTGCAAATTTAATAATATACATTAATACCTACATGTTATTGTATACATTGTTTCATCACATATTACTCATAAATATATGGATGTTAAAGGAATGTCTTTCTAATATTTTGTTAAGTTGCAAGTGTTATTGGATTACTTACATTGGAAAAGTAAAACTCTGGTATAAAATTGTGTGTCAAAATATAACAACAATAAGTATAAGTTATTTATTTGTAATTATTAATTATATTTGTAATTATTAGTAATTTTGATTTTGTTATCTTATTATCTAAAAATTGTTTAGGTTTAAGCCCGAAATAAAAACTAAAACCTCATTTTGTCAGCATAAAACCAAATTTTTTTTATGTATTAAATAAATTTCAGTTAATATAGAAATTGTTTACATTTAAGATCAAGATAATTTAATTAAATAAAGCTAGCATCACAATAACGATAAAGTTACATATAGTTAATGTTTTTCATGAATAATTTTTATGGTAAAATTTTATTTTAGTTTAATTGTGTTTGTTAGAACAAATTTAGCTGTAAATTTATCCAAAACAAATATACAGGTATTTTTAAATATGCGCCAAAGCGTCAGATTCTTATTGTCTTAAAGTTAAAAAATTGAAATGAGTTATCATCGTTAAAGTTAAAAAATAGAAATGAGTCATCATCATTAAAGTTAAGACTGAAAAAAAAATTAGTTTCATATTTGAATATTTATTTAAAGATAATACTAGTTGAAAAAAAAATGTTGAAAAAAAAAAAGATTGAAAATTTAAACAGTAAGATTTAAACTTTTATGATTTTTTTGGTATTTTTAATTTTATTATTTTTTAATCAGTTCTTTTATGTTTTAAAAAAATCTTTACTTGAACAAAGGTTACATTTACTTGAACAAAGGTTACACTTTGCTGACATGATAAATAAAATAATAGCTTACATGATCAATAGGTTGTTCTCATTCAATTCCCAGAGGCGTTCTTAAACAGGATGCACATAGTGTTAAACTGGAATATATAAGTTTTTCAAAACAATATTTTATGCTTTTCTTTGACCTAAAGCCCTAAGGCAGGGGTGCTTGTTGCATTTGATTATTTTTTTTTATTCTTAAAAACTTCAAAACAAAAAGAAATACAAACCATTAACTATATAAAAGACAAGCAATTTAAAAAACAGATTATTGTAGAAGTATTGACATTAGAGGAACATTTCAAAATAGATATCTAAGATTAACGAAATTTCAATTTTTTATTTTGAAAATAAGGAAAAATAGAACCCCTTTTTATTTAGAATGGGTTAGGGTTAGGTTTAAAAAAATAATATTAAAATAATAAAGTAATGTTAAAATAATATATTTAATTACAAATCTTTTTCAAACTAATAAAAAAAATTTGAATAAAATTAAATTTTTTTTTACTAATTTGAATACAATTTGTATATTTTTTTGAATAAATTATTAAAATTGGAAAATTATTTTTTTAATTAAGTATAATTATTTTATTTTAAACAATGATAATAATACCAGGTAATCATGATCTCAAATCAGTGAATCTTGATATGTTACGAAAGAAAATGAGTATTGTCAGTCAAGAACCTATACTGTTTGCTACCACCATTGCAAATAATATTGCTTATGGTATAGATGCTAGTCAAGATGAAGTAAGAGTCTTTCTTTCTTTTCTTTTTTTTATATGCTTTAAAAAAGTGTCTGTATTAAAGTATTTTAATTAGTTTTGTTTTTAATAATTGTGAGGTATTTTTGTTGTTGTGATAATAGACTGCTAGACTTTTTTGTTGTTGTTGCGATAAAAGGCTGTTAGACTTTTTTGTTGTTGTTGTGATAATAGACTGTAAGACTTTTTTGTTGTTGTTGTGATAATAGACTTTTTTGCTGTTGTTGTGATAATAGACTGTTAGACTTTTTGCATACCATTTTGAACTTGATAAAAATACTCCATTGAAATAGTAGAATATTCTCCATCCTAGTAGAATATTCTTGTAGGTTTCATTTTCCAATATTTTTGAAAACTCTTTACATAATTCCCTATCTACATTTTTGTAGAATAATGCACTCTATATATATTATATTATGTTTCTATTTTCTATTTTCTTAGTAATAGGTCAAATAATTTAACAAGTTTTTCAAATATAAATTGTAATTAATTGATTTGATTTTTTTGTAAAAAAATGAAATCAATAATTATGTTTTACCCAATTTATATATACTGTATTATGTTTCTATATTTTTCTATTTTTTTTAATGGTAAGTCAAATAATTGAACAAGTTTTTGAATATAAGTGATAATTGATTGATTCGATTATTCTTGTGAAAAAATTTAATCAATCCAAGTAGAAAAATTTAATCGATGTTTGAGATACTAAGTTATCAATAAGCTCTCAATCTGCTTCCAGTGAAAACATCATTTTACCAAGATATTGTTTTAGTTTTTTTTTCTAGCAATCAATAATTTTATCAGCATTAATCTGTATACTATTGGAAAACCAGGTTTAAAAGTTTTGTCAAATATATAAATTTATATAATAGCAATTTTTAACCCATTTTAAAATTGCAACCCATCTAATGTGATATAAAACTGTTTACCTTGATTATGTATGTCACCCAAGGCCATTAAGGCCACTATAGAGAAGGAAGCTAATTTAAATGTAGTTACAACTCTCTCTCTCAATTTTATAATTCCAAAACACAAACCTTGATGAACAAAGCCGTCGAAATATAGGTATGTATATATATATATATATATATATATATATATATATATATATATATATATATATATATATATATATATATATATATATATATAGGCCTTGTTTTAAATATAAAAGTGCTTAATGCATTAGCTTAACGCGATTTTGACGTCATAAAATTATCTTTATTTTTTTTTATAGACGTTAAGTGTTTTAACTACCGCAATAAATAAATAACCGCAAACTAGTTCAATTTAACAATTAACTCAAATATAAACTATAAACGTTTTAAATATAAATTTATTATGAAAATTTTGTAATGTTTTCAATTGTTATTTTATTATTAGTTTTAGTTCAATATTATTTAGTAAAATATATATATATATATATATATATATATATATATATATATATATATATATATATATATATATATATATATATATATATATATATATATATGTATATTATTTCTGAAATTTGTTTTTGAATAATTGTTTTTAATCGTTATTGAATAAAAAATAATAATGATTTTTTTTATTTTTAAAAATTATTGGAGTAAACAAAAAATATTAACATTGAAAAACACAAACCCATGTTAATTATTTAAACAACGATTTTGTTTTGACTAGCAAAGAAAAATTTAAGTTTTTAAATATTTTTAAAATTTTTAAAAGCGTTTCAACTTGCGTTTTATAAAAATATAAAAAAGTTTAGTCTGCTTTGAGCATATTTTTGATACGTAGTTTAGAACGCGTTCGCTAGGAATTTAATTCATAAATTTTTTATGTTATGGTAAAAATATTTAACTTTTAAAACAAATCACAAAGAAACAGAGCTATAGAGAAAAATCGTTTTCAACGATTAAATCTTTTTTTTTTTTAATTTTAGGAAATTAAAAAAAAAAATTAAATTAAATATAAAAGACTTAATTATGCAAACTCTTTTATTAATTATTCTTAAAACAAAAAAACAAATACTATTACGCCAAACTTTAATCGTGCAAACTTAAAAAAATACTCAACTGAAATAATTTAAGTATATTTAATAATTTGAATCGTATCTGTTTATAATAATTTTTCGTAAAAATTTGTTTATTAAAAATTAAGTTCCTTAACTTATAAACAAACTCAAAAGTATTTTCATTCTACGTATAATTACAAAACTCTTTTTTTTTTTTCGTTTGTAAGCAATTTAATTTAATAAAAAAAAAAAAAAGAATAAATATGAGGTAATCTTTGTTACGAATAAATTTAATTTATTTATTGAACTATATTTTTATTTTTAATTATATATCAACTTAATTAAAATATAGTAACATGTTAAAATATTTTAACATGACTTGTATCATTTATAAACTGTTGGGCAGTTGCCCTTACGGCACTATTGCTTTTGGATACTATTTTATTTTGATGAAGATCACATAACTTACATTTGATTTTAATAACGTAAGTCTTCTCTTTTTCTGTGATCATCGCATCGGCATAGCATCGGCAAAGTCCCAAGATTTAAAAGTTTTTAAAGTAAATCTTTTGTCCTTCAAAATGCAATCCATATTCGAACTTTAAACAATTTAGAGATAATAGAAATATACAAGGTTTTTATATACTAGTTTGTTTTGTTTTATAAAGAAAAATACATATTCATTAGTAAAAAATGGAGACTGTCATTAAACTAAAACGTGCCTTAGTATTTATTTAACGGAACCTGTAATGTGCGCGTGCATAATAAAACCTCCGTTATATAAATGTATTCAACGTAATATTAGTGTCATCAGCGGATGTTGTAGTCTACTCATGATTTCTTTACCTTGTAATATAACTTGATTTATGAAAAAAAAACTTATTGAATCGCACGCAGAAGAATTTTAACAAATTGTCTTCATTCAAATATTGCGAGTAACAGGTAATTTTTTTTTCTGTGCCGACCCCCTCCCTCCGCATAACTTAAACTATATACCATTAACTAATAAGAAAAGCAAAGACATTTTTTTTAACATCTCGAAAAAATGTCTTGATATTTTTGTTATCCTGATAACAAAATTATTATGACATTTTTTGAGATTTAATAAAAAAAATGTCAATTCGTAATTACAAATTTTTTTGCAAATGTTTTTTATTATAAATTCAGTAAAAAATTCATAAATTCTATATTACGAAAAACTTTTATATTCTGTATTAATAAATATGGAATATAGATTTTTTAAAAGTTTTTTACTAAAAACTTTAAAAAATTACTACTTTTTATTAAAAACATTGCAAAAAATTTGTAGTTAAGGATTGACAAACAATTTTTCATGTTGCTAAATATTTCAATAAAAAGTTTAGCGTCAAATTAATTGCTATAAAAAGGGAAAGATATATCGCGATGAAAAGTTACAACAATTATTTTTAAAGTAAATTCTTTTTTTTAATAAATATCTTTACATATCGTTATTTAAAAGTTAATGTGGTTTTTTTGAAAATTAATTACTTCTTTTACCGCTAATTTAAAAGTTAAAAAATGATAAAAAGTAGCTTAACCAAAACAGCTCTACGCGTACGTAAAAAGCGCTTAAGGCGTACGTAAATCGCTCTAGGCGTAACGCTTTAAAACAAGGCCTGATATATATATATATATATATATATATACACCTATATATATATATACACACCTATATATATATATATATATATATATATATATATATATATATATATATATATATATATATATATATATATATATATATATATATATATATATATATATATACACACCTATATATATATATATATATATATATATATATATATATATATATATATATATATATATACACACCTATATATATATATATATATATATATATATATATATATATATATATATATATATATATATATATATATATACACACCTATATATATATATATATATATATATATATATATATATATATATATATATATATACACACCTATATATATATATATATATATATATATATATATATATATATATATATATATATATATATATATATATATATATATATATATATATATATATATATATATATATATATATATACACACACACCTATATGTATATAAAATAAATTTGATTTTAAATAAATTTTTTAATTTTATTTAAAATCATTTTATTAATGAAGACATGTTTTGACTATATAGTCATCTTCAGTTAAAATATATTTGTTAAAAATGGTATAAAATATAGTATATAATTGTAAAAATAAACATAATAAAAGCCATAAAATTGTAAACAAACTTCCTATATATACAAAAAGGCTTATTAAAAATTATTTTAACAAATGTCAAATATAACAAAAGAAACCAGAAAACCATATTAAATTTTAAGAGTCATTTTAACATGGTTTACTTGATTATTCATATCGGGTTTTTCCCATCCTATATGAAAGCTTTCCTATAGGAATGCTTTTTTTTTTTTAATTTTTAATTCAATTTTGTTTTTAGCATGATCCAAAATTGAAAAGCATTCATCATTATAATTTTGAAAACATTTTTCTTTTGAGTGAAGATGTTTATAAATAAGAGAGTTATTATCCCTTCTGTAGTATTTAATCACTCACGTCTTTAGGTGGCGAGAGGTTTTGCCAATATAACAGGATTTACATCCTGCACAAACAAATTTGTAGACAACGAATGATTTAAAATTTACAGGAAGGTGATCTTTAGATAAAAAAATATATACACTTTTAACGAAGTGAATACTAATTTTACAGTAACTGACTTACAATGTCTTTTTATAATTGTGTGTAAACTTCGTTTCGTTAGCTCAGATATTCGACCAATATAAGGGAGTTTGAAATAGCGAGAGTTTGTAAGGTCTTCAGACGGTAATAGAACGACATTTATCTTTATTTAAGACAATTATCTTTATTTAAGTAAGATTTGTGGATTTTTTCTATTAGCCAAGTTGGGAACGTTTGAAAATTTTGAAAAGATTCTTAATATCATAGCGGAGACCAAGGGTAGTGTTTTAATTTTGAAAGTTCTATCAATTAAACGTTTTATAAGACTTATTTTATATGTAAACAAAGTAAAGCTGTAAAAGTTGGTGTATAATCCAGTAAAGGTTTTTTTATGAAAAACTGTTGCAATTGTTGAACTACTCGACTTACATAAAGTTATGTCCAAATAAGATATTTTTGAGTTTTCTTGCTTTTCCATGGTGAAAGATATTGAAGAATGTTTTTTGTTTATGTAATCTAAGAATAAAATTGCGTGTTTTTCTGAGCGGAAAGCAGCAAAAATGTCATCTAAATATATATATATATATATATATATATATATATATATATATATATATATATATATATATATATATATATATATATTTCATCAACAAAGACTCATCAGAAATCCTTCAACAAAGACTCAATCAGATATATATATATATATATATACATATATATATATATATATATATATATATATATATATATATATATATATATATATATATATATATATATATAAATATATATATATATAAATGTATATATAAATATATATATATATATATCGGGTGGTTAAGAAAAAGTGAAAAATGTTTTTAAACATATTTCCTTATAGATAGAATTTGCTGCCAAACAGGCTAATGCTCATGATTTCATCATGTCCTTTGAGGTAAATATAATTTTTTAAATTAAGATTTAATTTTTTATTATACTTTATTTTATTACTACTGATAAAGTTGTTGTTATTATTTTTATTACTTTTTACTATACAAATTATATATATATATATATATATATATATATATATATATATATATATATATATATATATATATATATTACTTTTAAAAAGTATATTAGGTTTTATATATTAATTATATCATAGGAAGGTTATAACACCTATGTTGGTGAGCGTGGAATCAAACTTTCAGGTGGACAAAAACAGAGAGTGGCTATTGCACGAGCACTTCTTATGAATCCTGACATTTTACTTTTAGATGAGGTATCCCTTTTTTTAGTTTAGTTTAAATAAACATTTAAGAGAACTTTCTGTAAAAGATCAAAAACTCTGAATAAAAAAGGAAAAATTAGTATATATATATGTATACAGTTATGGCCATTGAAATCTGACCACCAGTATCATTTTACTTAAAACTAGTTTAATGTAGTAATAAACAATTGTATTATAGCAATAAAAGAATAACAGTAGCAATTAATGATTATAATGTAACATATCGTACATATTTAATGTTTATATTAATGTTTTTTACTCTCAGGTTCATTGAATTTAATATTTAGTGGCATGACCATGTGCTTTCAAGACTGCATTAATGCGATCTGGGATTGAATCCACGAGAGCCTGGCAATATTCTGGCGTTATTTCAGTAATACAAGCTTGACGAATTTTGTGTGCTAGATCGTCCAGTGATGTAGGATTAGTTCTGGATACTGCTGACTTTAACTTGACCCAGCAATTTTCCATTGGGTTCAAGTCTGGGGATGATCTCAGCCAATGACCCAGAACCTGAACGTTGTGATCCTCTAACCAAGATTTAACGAGACGAGATTGGTGACACGGTGCATCCTCTTGAAGGACTTTTAGGTATTGTTGGGAGTTAACAGTCTGTTCCTTCTGCATTAAATAAATACCACATTGACCAGATGAAGCTATCGCGCCCTACACCATGATTGAAGGACATTGCTTGACAGCTGGTACAGTATACCTTGCATTAAAACGCTGATTAGGGGGGCGATGAACTAATGACTTATGCGGAGCGAATTGCTTTATTTGTGCTCGTCGCTGAACATTACCTGGCGCTATTTGGTTATTGACCAGTGTCTGTGAGCTCTACAAAATGCGATCCTATCACGGATGTTCTTTAAAGAACATTCGCGGTTTGAGGGCTGGACGACAAGAACGTAGACCTGCATCTTTCAATAAACGTCTTTTAATTGTTCAAGTGCTGACTGTAACGACATTAGGTAGATCTGCCCTGATTTGTGTGCTGGATATTGTTGGATCTCTCACAGCAGCCCTGCTTATCATATTGTCTGTTTGTTTGCTAGTAATTCTAGCTTTACCAAAACGTTTTCTGGGCGCAGTGGATCCCGTGTCTTTGATTAGTTGTATAATATCATGAAAAGTAGATTTTGGCATTCGCAATCTTGCTGATATCTGACGCTCACTTGCACCATCCTCCCATAAAAGTTTAATATTAGCACAAACACCTTCCTTCGTAGTCATAATTAAATTGTGACAGTTAAATGATAATCCATACCTTACAATGAGATATATAGCTTAATAAATTTACAGTGCAATAAAATAAACGCTAATGTGATTGGCTAAAAGCTAATTAATTAATCATTGATGTCAGGGAAGAAAATAAATTGATTATTCACGTGCATAGACTGTTTTTCTTTATATTCAGCAGTGGTCGGATTTCAATGGCCATAACTGTATATATATGTGTGTGTATATATATATATATATATATATATATATATATATATATATATATATATATATATATATATATATATATATATATATATATATATATATATATATATAATATATATAGTATGCATATATGCAATATATACATATATATATATACACACACACACACACAAAATGATGCATAAAAAAAATAAAACAACATTTACAATTTTTATGCTTGATTTATGCATATTACTCATAATTTTTTTTTATACATTATTTATTTTTTGTTTATAATTACACTTTTTTTTAACAATAATTATGTTAATAATTATTGTTAAAAAAAGTGGGGAAAAATATACTTGTAATTAAATATGCTCCTAGAAGGGTTGCTAGCAACAAGAATTTAAGTTAGAACCTAGCAAGATTGCAAGCAACCACAGTTTAAGCAAGGACATAGCAAGTTTGAAAGCTTCATTTAAGTTTGCAAGCTTCAATTTAACTTTAGACAAAATGAAAAGAGTCAAGAAAGAAGAAAGAATGCTTTAAGTTTACAGATGATTTGAAAAACTGAAAGTTTAACAGATGACTTTTTAACTGACCTATTTTAGATGACCTAATTTTAACTGAAAGTTAAAATTAGGTCAGGAAAACAAGGAGATAGAAGAGACTTTCAAAGAACTGATGCACAATAAAAAGAACTAGGTTAATTAAAGTTTTATGTCAATGAAGAAATATTTATAGTTAGAGGCGATTTGTAGCTAAATAAAAAGTCAAGCGAGACTAAAAGTCAAGCGAGACTATATTTTGGTTAATGGAACAAGATCTAATTGCTTGCTTAAGTGGCAATCGTTGTAGATTTTGTAGAAAAGAAGTAAAGATAGATCCTTTTGATGATCGGAGCTCAAGTTTATCAGCTAGAATAGGTCCAGCTACATTTAAAATTTAGTTTTAGACTTTTTCTGAACGAGAAGAGCATAAAATTTTTATACAAATATAAGAATTTTTTACACCATGACAAATAAGAAATTTATAGAGAATGAAATAAATAACGAGCACCGTAAAGAGAAGCAACCTTGGCAGATGCTAACTTTGCAATGGATTTTATATAAGTTTTTATTATTTTATTTAGGTTTTTATGAGAGCCAGTAATGAAAGGTAATCTGAAAAGATGTAAATCAGAGAATTCAAGAAGAGTGTTATTTTTCATCAACAACATTAAAATGATTATTATTAGTAAATAATTGAGCTTTGTTTGGTTTAAAATTAACCAGCTTATGCAATACACAGTCATTTAAGATCTGCTGTTTGAAGCAATTAAATAGTGATGATAATTCTTTTTTTCAAGGTTTATGTAGTACATAGCTGTGTCATCAGAAAAATGAGTCTCGTGGTAAGGTTATCAGTATGATCATTACAAACAACAAAGACCAACTTGATCAGAGTTAAATTTGATCTTGAGTTGCTTCACACAGGTTCGGTTCCAGATACACTGTATTAAAAGAGACTAAGTAGAAGACCAGCATGCTAGACTCTAATCAATTAAAAAGCTATGATATGTCAAAAGTAAAGGCACTTGCTTCTGCGCTTCTATTTAACACACAATAAAGTCTTTCTTTTATAGTGGTTAACGCCATCAGTAGAACGAAAAGATTAAAATCTTTAACGATTTTTATACAGTTGCTGTACTCAAAATGAGGTATTAAAGTTTGTTCAAGACTAAAAAATTTTGTTAGTATTAGTAAGAAGACTAATCGGGCCATCTATAGAGTTTTTAAAGTTTTAGCCACAAATATCAACTAGATCCAATGGTAACCAGAGTAGTTGGAATGTCTAACAATCAGTATACCTGTTTCTCTGTGACGACAGTGAGCAGGCATTCATTAGATTTATTCATTAGTCTTTGTTAATAACACTGTTAATTATCTAAAAAATCTTCAGAACTCAACTAAGTAACCTTTAACTGAAATAAAATGAGATTTATTGATATGAGAATAATGGACCATAGCATCAAGTTTAACCTTTTTGCATTGGTTTCTTGCTATGATAAATCCCCTTTGTTCTCAAGAGAGTTGTTTTTGTTAAAAATATCAATTTTATTACACTTTTATTATACTTTTTTTGTTTCAAGTTTATATTATATTTTAGGCTACAAGCGCACTTGATTCTGAAAGTGAGCATTTAGTGCAAGAAGCTATAGATCGAGCAATGATCGGAAAAAGAACTGTGTTAGTCATAGCCCACAGATTATCAACAGTGCGCCACGCATCCCGGGTAAAAATATTTTATTAATGGTGTACAGAAATATTCAAAAATATCAAAAAAGTATATGTATTAATAGACTTTCTGACAATAGTTGATCATTTATTGATATTATGGACTTTTTACACAATCTTCAGGTAATTGTAATAAACAAGGGAGTGGTAGCAGAAGAAGGTACCCACGATGAACTTATTCAAGCTAATGGAGTTTATAAAAAACTTGTACTTCGACAACTTGAAAAAGGGCGTTTACAAAACGAGACTAATGATGATCTTGATGTCGATGAACTTGATTCTAAAATTTAAAAAGTTGGATCATAACATAGTAATGAACGAATAATTAGCAAATTTAAAGTTGTTTGTGTCAAGTTTTTGTACTTTAAAAAAAGAACTATCAATAATTTTTTTTAATGAAAGAAAATTTCGTTTGTGTATTGGTTTATTTGTGCATATTTTATGTGTATGTGTTTTTTTTTTCTGTATTTGTGTTTTTTGTTTCTATATGTTTCTATATATATATATATATATATATATATATATATATATATATATATATATATATATATATATATATATATATATATATATATATATATATATATATATATATATATATATTTATATTTATATTTATATTTATATTTATATTTATATATATATATATATATATATATATATATATATATATATATATATATATATATTTATATGTTTATGTGTTTTTTTTTTCTGTATTTGTGTTTTTTGTTTCTATGTGTGTATTTTTGTATGTTTGGTTTTTTTTTAAACAAGCAAACAAACTATTTAAACTATTTATGAAATCAAAAAATTTTTTTTTCCTAGTTTAGTTACTTTTACGAATTTGTATATTTTTATTAATTTATAAGGAAGGTTTAAGGTATAAATTTAAAATGTTTAGTATTAAAAATGGATTAAGGGTATTTGTATGTTATTAACAAAACTGTTCCTTAATAATATTCCAGCTTTTTGCATAATCTTGAATATTGCTGTCAGCTGATATTTAACCTAGAAAAAAGGTGTTGAAATCAGTGTTAAACATTAACAAAAGTGTAATTTTTTATTGTAAAAATCATTTTTATTGTAAAAATCATTTTTATTGTAAAAATCATTCTTTAATGAAAAAAACATTTTTTTATTCATATTTTTATCTTTATAAACATTTGAAGTAGTTACTCGAAGTACTTGAAGAAAAACATGGTATAAATAGGATAGGGTACATGACAAAATTTTTTCGGAACAAGTGAATCCTGAGGCCATTTGATGCGCTGAATACGATTATCTGGGGATTTTTGGCCTATTCACATGTCTTCACAATCCTAATGTCGAATTGCAGCCATTTTTTCAAAATCTCCATTTTTCAAGGCGGGTATTTTTTTTTTTCTCTAAAACAGGCCTAATAATGTGTCATTTGCAGTTTTTTTTTTTTTTTTTAATGGGATATTCAAAAAACGCACTTAGATTATCGTATCTGTCAAGAAATTCAAGTAATCTAAAATAACATGTTATTGTTCTTGTTTTTCGCGCTATTGCACCGCTTTCTCCTAAATGCATCTTTTTACCTTGTGAGCCGTGGCAAGTCACGTAGGCACATACGGTACACTTGACAGTCGTCATGTCCGCACTAGTATAAAACAATGGTTACTGCTCCAAAAACCATCATTTCAAAAACATGCGCTTCATAGGATTCAACAAACACAGTAAATAAAAGAAGCAATCGTGATGCGAAATGCCTGTTCAATGAAGTGTACAGCGAACAGAAAAAATTCATCGTTCGGCCTAAACTCCAGACTGGAGCACACATGTTGGGTCGAATGCTTCATCTGTGCACCACAAAACCAGAACAGAAGACTCTGTCTCAAGAGGCTGCCAGTAAACCCAAAAGCCTTTCTGGAGCAGCCGAATTCATCAAAGATTGGATTGCAAAGAACGATTATCCTTTACATGTCAATAATATTGCGAAAAAATTTTGCACTGACTATCAGAAATCGTAGGAATGGTAGGTAGAAGTAAATGTACAGCCATACAGAAGTAAATTGTGCATCCGTGGCGCAGTGGTAGCAAAATTGCATCAGAAACAAAGAATCTGTGGTTTAAACTCCACTTCTGGGCAAGTTTTGCGACATCAGTTAAAAAGAAGGCATAAACTTCCGATTAAATGTTTATCCGCGGTGCTCTGTAACAAGTCCGTAAGGACTTCAACACCTAAATAAAATAAAATTAAAAAAAATGAGCTCAACGACAGCATGACCAAATACGCGAACGGCATACGTACTAAAGACAAGTTGTACCTAAAGAAAATGGAGCAACAATTTTAAGTGACAATGACATAAAAAGATGAAATTTTCTATCAAAATAACTGTTATGGGTTTTACACTTTTACGTGTCTCGGCACCGTGTCTAGGAAGTGAAACAAGCAGAAGAAACGACTTCCCCAAAGACTTTTATCAGCTGAGAAAAAAAAAAACGGCTTGATGACCACCAAACTGCACGAAAACTGACGTATCCTGCATCACCAAAACATGTTGCTAGTAGCTCTCAATCATCACAGTAAATCTGGATGACACAACCAAAGTAGCGGGCCATCGTATGACGACATTAAAACTGATCATATAACTAAAACCTATCCAAACAAGTGGAACAGTCACTACCGGCTACATAAAAAATGCTAGTCATTCTGGATCAGATGGAGCAGTGAAGTATACGCTCAGACTTAAATGCTTAGCAGCTCTAACTGACGTTAAGGTTCAATTGGTTATTTAAACATTTTTACACACTTAGCACCAATTAAATATTTAAAAATGAGCGTTTGGGCAGCATCCATGATGCTATCGTTTGACCACGAGTTACACAAATATACTTGCTGGTCTACAGTTCAATAACTTTAATCAAACTGGTTCAATCCTTTTTAGTTTCAAATGAATTGATTATTTGATGTATTTTTTTGAAGGTTTACTCAACTGTAAATTAAAAGTTTTTTTTGCCAAATAGCAATCTAAGTAGATTTTTGTCAATTTGCATAAGATATTTTTTGCGCAAATAACAGCCTATGGGAGTTTTTTTTGTGCAAATTGTTTGCTTTTTTGCGGATAAATTACAATTTATGCAGGTTTCCAGTTATCGTTGAATACTTACTTTTATTGTATTGCCTTAAACTTAGGAGATCTTGATTTCGGAGTTCAGAGAAGTTCGTAAAAGTAACTTTTTTTTTTCGCGATATCTTATTAAACCTGGTATACGCAGAACCGTCTCGAAGATATCTAAAATGGGGGAGTGAAGTATCTGTTTCTTGCCGACAAAAGATAGGAAAAAAATTGACCAGGTCTAGTGTCTAAGTTGCTCACTAACTTTTGAACAAAATTTTTCTAGGGGGTTAGACACCTTTTACATTCCCCGATTGAGACGGCCCTAGATATACGTACAATATAATGATCAACATGTTTGCGTTTTGGCAAGCAACCTATGACCAAATATAATCAAAAGCGATTTTTAAATGACGTTTATTGTAATTATTTGTAAGCAATTTTTAAATGACGTTTATTGTAATTATTTGTTAGCGTTTTTAAATGACGTTTATTGTAATTATTTGTTAGCGTTTTTAAATGATGTTTATTGTAATTATTTTCAGATGTAGTATAGTAATAAGTACACAGTAAATAAAATACCCGTTATATTTTTAAAAAACATAACGGGAGTTTTCCTCGCACATAACGGTTTTAGCGTTATGTTTAGTCATAGCAAAATTGCCTTAAACATAACGGTTACATAACGCTAATTTACCGTTATGTGCGAGGAAAACTCCCGTTTTGTAACGGGTAATTACCCGTTATGTTACCGTTATGTTGAAAATCTAACATAACGGGTAATTACCCGTTATGTTACCGTTATGTAAAATGAAAATTATATTAAAAAAAAAAAACGCATAATTCTGCATGACTATTCGCAGAAAGTACTTAACAAAAAAACATTTTTTTGTCAATAAAAGTTGTAATAAGAAAATAAAAATTATGCAGTTTTATATCATAATATATTTATATTATATTATTTATAATATTCATGAAAATTATTTACAAAATAATTGAATAAATTATTTACAAAATAATTGAATTTACAAAATTATTTACAAAATAATTGAATAAAATAACTTATTAACATTTATAAATTCAAAATTAATTTGCATTGCTTTGAAAAGATTGCAGAAGAAAAATGCATTTTTTAGACAATAAAGCCAATTGCAAAAAGCCTCAAATATCTTGCTAACATACCAGAAGCCGCCCAAAACAAGAATATGTCAAATCTAGCAAATAGTAAACAACCGTCAAAACAACCACTATATGTACTGACCAAGCGCTGAACATCCATTTCGACACCTCTTCAACTTCTTGCATCATATTCTGTTTTATTAAAGATAACTTGTGGACCATATAAGCTTTGGCATAATTATTCATGTAGTGAATCACTAAAATTTTATAAATAAAAAATAATTATTACTATCATAAAATAAACAAACTATTATTAATACATTAAATAGAAAAAAGAAAAAAGCATGTGAACCATTGCAATAAAAAATATGCTTAACATTAGTTAAAATTTCGGCAATATTACAAGTGAGAACAATTTTCTTTCCCCAAGAAATTTGGCAACACCCAGCCGGCACAACTCAGAAAATAGTTACGCTTGGTTTCTGTTGCGTTTTTAAAACCTTCTAAAACAAAAAGAATAACACGTATCCTAAATGGTTTTTATTCCGTGAAATAAACTATTACTATTTAACATAAATACTAGTTAAAGTATTAATGGTTTCACCGTTATGGAGACGTAGTATTATATTTTAATAACTTTCCGTAAAGAATGTGAAACCACTGGTAAAAATATGCGACATTTAAATTTGACTTTAAAACCTCAAAAATCACGTGTTAAACTCTAGTAAAACTGCCCGTAATATACACCTGCCTTTGGTTTACCCCTGGATCGTGAAAAACACGTGCCTATATAGGTTTTATTTCCGAAAAAGAAACTAGATGTGCCGATAGGGCAGCCTTTATTATTTTCAACTATTAACAGTTGAAGAAATAAGTAAAGCAGTTATTATTAGTTTATACTACTTTAATTTTACAAATAGTATATTTAACATTTTTTAATACTTGCAATACAAAATTAATGTTAAACTCACCTAAATGCCTACTCACCTAAATGCCAATTTTAAATCAAAACATTTATTCAACAAGGAATACTTTTTTGGTGATTGATTATTCGTGTCTTTAAATGGCGAGTAGTTTCGCCAATATAACAGGATTTACAGCCTGCGCATTCAAATTTGTAATTAAAGGCTGTAAATCCTGTTTATTGGTGAAACTACTCGCCATTTAAAAACACAAATAATCAAGCAGCAAAAAAGGGATAAAAACTCACAAGCTTATAAACATATTCATTCAAATGAAAGTTGTTTTAATAGTTTTAATCATGGTAGTTTTTCAATCTTGAATTCACCCTCCAACAAATTTATATTAAAACTCAAAGAAAGCATGTACAGAGAGTGGGAAAAACCCACTATTAATAAACAAATGAACCATGTAAAAATAACAATTTCGATCTAGTTCTTTTTAGCATTACCGGTTCTTTTATCTTTTATCTTTTTTAAAACAATTGTTACATTTTTTAATTGCTAATTATAAGGTCTCTACTAGTTCAACTTAATTTTGATAATTTGATTTAAGCATTTTTATATATTTTAACTGATGATGGCTATGATATAGTCGAAACATGTATTATAAAATAAATGATTTTAACAAAAATTAAAAAAGTTGTCTTATTTATTAGAATATTTACACATTTTATGTTGAAAAGAAACTTTGGATGTATAATTATATATATTTTATATTATAATTATATATATATATATATATATATATATATATATATATATATATATATATATATATATATATATATATATATATATATATATATATATATAACGCTAATACTTACTTAACATAACGCTAACATAACGGTGAACATAACGCCAAAATTTTCAATTGCCGTTATGTAACCGTTATTTTAGCGTTATGTTTTTTGCTGTGTACTCTCATTTGGAATACTCATTTATGAAAGGGAGTATTTATTTAAAAACCTAAAATGACTGATAGATTTTTTTTTTACCAGGAAATAAGTTAAGGGAGAAACTTATTTTGAGCGAGTCATTTTAAGATGCTACACTGGTTATATCTCAACTAAAAATAAGCTCCAAGTTATTATGAAAATGAAATATTAAAAAATGAAAAAAAAAGTGAAACAAACAACTTTATTAAAGTAATTAAATTTATTTATCAAATTAGTTACTTTTATTAAGACATGAATTCCGCCCTACTATCATTACCAAAAATTGTAATATCAGTTTTTAGCATTACAGTTTAATTAAATATACAGACTAATACACAATACAAATAATGCACTACATTTTTTTTTCCTTTTACCTTCATTTACTTTTAAAAAATTATTTTAAAAGTAAATGAAGAAAATTTTTCGTAACTCTAGATGACAAATTGTATAGATCTCAATAAGGATTATAAAAATAAATGCAAAATAAAATTTTTTTTTCAACTTTTGAGTTGTTTCAGGATTGTATTATAAAGAATTAAAATTGTTTTCTTCAAGCTTTTGTGTTGGCAAAGTATTTAGTAATTCCTTTTATGTCAATTTTTACACCTTTTCAATAATAATGCAAGATTGTGTAAAATCTGGAATACAGATTTTAGGCATGTTGGAGGACATAGGAAAATTGTTGTTTTGTTTTTTGAGTCCAAGCACATTTGCACGAGTTAGAGTCACTTCACAATCATTATAATTTTAAATATACACAGAATATAATTATATTCCTGAAAAAATTGAAATAAATGGTTATTTTTCTACAATAAAATTTTCAGGCTAAAACTTTTGTAACTAACAAGCAAAATGATCAAACCTCCATTATCAAAGTGGACAATGTTTTACATTATCAAAATGGACAAAGTTTTACGATACTTTATGTTTTCTGAAGATGTAACTAAAAAGTTTTTAATGAAATACAGAATTAAATATCTTTTGGAAGTCAATTAATAAAACTAAAAAGTTTTTTTTTATTATGCTTTATTTCAAAAGGTGTTTACAATAATGTAATTTTTTACTAATCCTTTATTTGTTGATAGTGTAATTATAACTGTTTCTTATTTTTCATTTTCTATATGTATCAGCATTTATTTAAACGTCTTAGAAGCAGTTTTTTAGGTTTTTTTCGGCGATTCTCGGTGACATAATCATCTGTTCTTCTTCGAGTCCCCGCGTTCTTGATTTTTTAAATTTTTTACAAGTTATTGTATTTTATAATGAAATTATTACTTTGTTTTTGAAAAGCGTATTTATGCAGAAATATAATTCTAAACAAGAACAAACAAACAACACTAAAAAAACACCATCTGTTATCGATAGTCGAAACCGAGGTATTTTATTTTTTACACGCAAAAAACTAATTTATGCATATAAAATTAGCTTAACAATATTATATTGAATATATTAAAAAAAACCTATTCGTATTTTAAAACATGAAGTATAAAAGTTTTGTTTTCACTTAACTAAAAAATTTTTTTTGAGTCGTTATATGAAAAACCAATTAACCCCAGTTTTGCCGCGTTGTCCCCTTTTTGAAAGCATCCAAGAGCATTGGATGTCTTCAAAAAGGTTACCATGGAGGAACATTTGAAGGAAACACGTGAAGAGAGATACTTGAGCTTATAATATTAGTTAAACTGTATCCTTGGAAACGATGAGAAAGTTTAATAAGTTGTTCATTGTGTCTTTGGCTATAAACTTGACCCAAAATAATTTTAATTGAAATTGATTTTGCAAAGCTTTTTCCGAGAGTATTTGTATTTTTTACACTTCATATTTAAAACCAAGTTATTAATAAACATTTATAGTAAACTTTTTTTAGGTTTGAGTAAAACAGCTCATGGTTACCTGGAAAGTACATGCTGTAACCACACATCTGTAAAAATTCGTTGATTTGAATGGTCTTTGCCTTGGGCAATCTGGGACACCTGAATCTTACCAAACTTATTTATTACACATTTGAAAAGTGTAATAAATAGGTTTAGCGTTTCGCATAAACATAAGGAAAGAAGCAAAAGAATTGCTAAAGTATTCAGCTCAAATAATTTATAAGTTATTGAACATCATTTGTACATCAAAACTATTTTAACATTATTAAAATCTTAAGTTTAAAACATTTTCAAATATATTAAAAAAGACAATAAAAATACATAAGTATAAACGGTTTTAAAATATTTTATTTAGTATTTATTATATTATTGTTGTTTATATATTAGGTCATTAGGAAACTGTGCATACAATACTAATATTCTATTAAATTACTTATATACTATTAATATGTTCTACTTTACTAAGCATACTATTTTCCTAAATTAATTTCAAGCGTATTTAAACTTTTTTTTGCCAACTTAAAGCAGTCCAATGATGTTGATGTATAAATACAAAATTAAAAACCCATAAAAAGTTAGAATAGAAAGTTATTTTATCTTAACTTTACTATTCTGTCAATATATTTAGTTTTTTTAAATACGAAAATAACTTTTTAGCAGATTTTCAATGTCAATTTTCTAAAAATGCGATACCTCACAGATTTTTCTAAATATAAAAATGAAGTGTCCAGATGCACCACGTACTATAATTATTATCATTTTTGGGTACTCCGATAGTAAACTTAAACCTGAAATTTCTGAGCTGTATGTATGGTAAATAATAAAAACTAAAGAAAAAGAGTTGTATTGAACTTTTAAAATATAACTTATTGCTAGTTTATACAATGTTATTACAAATTTAAATGATAATAAACAGTTTTTCAAAATCATATTCTTTGCATTTTTTTTAAGAACAAATAAAGTGATAAAATGCTGTAAAGCAATACTTTTATTTATTATGAAAAATAAAAAATTACCTACACTGAATACTTTCAATTAAAATGGATACCGTGCATTCTTATAAATAAGGAACTAAAACTAATGTCAAATTTTAGCAAGAGAAATCTTTCTGTTTCATTACAAAAATTTTTCTGTTTCATTACAAAAAAAAAAATCTTTTTTTTTGTAATGAAACAGAAAGGAGTTAAATAAAGTAATAAAAACTATTTTCTTTTGCACAATGTTAATTTTAATTTATTTTGGTAAACTAAAATATTTTCATGGTACTTGAATTACATAAAACATCAGTTGTTTTACACTCACTGCGAAACATTTGTTTAACTTTTTTTTTTACCCAGTACTATAAACTTTATTTTATTACTTACGATAAAAGTTTAAAAACTTATTTTTTTTCTTTTTAGCCACATAAAAATTATTAAGAAACGGTGACACCTGTTCATCTTCTGAAAAATTATCAAAAAAAGTATCTGTATTGACGAAGTTAGTAACGTTACTATTTTTGACGGAACGTTTAGGGAAAGTATAAGAAGTTTCGCGAACTTCTTGCTTCGAACTACCTTTTACTATAAAACTTCCCCCTTGAAGTTTTTTATTCCAAAATGGGTATTTTTGTTCCCGATTATTTTCTAAAAGTTTGCTTTCGTTTAACATCTTTTCATTTTTTTGTTCTTTATTTAACTTTTTATCGTTTTTATTTATCTCAAGCATAATTTCCCTGCGACCTCTAATTCTTTGCATTTCGTAACATTTTTTTTCACCAATGTTGGTATTATGTTCAGCAGGTAAAGTCTGAGTTCTTGAAACTCTAGGAGATATACTTGCAGAGTTAACTAACTCTTCATTTTGTTTATGGTTGTTCACGAAAGGTTCAAAATTATTAACATTTTTATTTTTATCTGATCTTGGTGAACGCAAAGGAGAATGGATTCGAGTTTCATCAAAATATCTTGTTGGCCGATTTACAGACTTGATTATTTCAGTTGCCTCTTGTGTTCGAATTGTTCTTGCAACGCGTGAAGTGGTTGCCTGTGAGCCTTAAAAAAAATTTAAATACAATTCTACAAAATTTTTGTTATATTTTATATATATATATATATATATATATATATATATATATATATATATATATATATATATATATATATATATATATATATATATATATATATATATATATATAACAAAAACCGTATAACTATAAATAACCGTATAATAATGAATCCCCATAAAAATTAAAATCATTTTAGTTAATTTTTATTGAAATGATGATCATAAAAGTTGCACTCTACATTTACAATTTAATTGTAAACTATTTAATAATTTATTTTCCTAATATTTACTTCTTCACTTTGTTTTAAAAAAATAAACATTTCTCACCGTTATTAGAATGAGAGATTCCGCTGTCACAGTCAGTTATGGGATCAAGGTCAATGTGGTTTGTTGACTCGTCAGAACATTTTAGCAAGTGGCCATTACATGAACGTTTTAATGAAACGTCTATATCTTTATAGTTGTTAGATATGATAGGGTCATATGCCGTGTTTAGAACGTCGTTTTTATATGGCTGATCTTTGCCGTCATAAATGTAAAATCCTACGACATTTGTATCCGGGTTGTTTTCTTGTATTATGAGATTATCTAGTTGATTTAAAGTCCTTTTTAAATAAGTTTCTTGTAGAGTTGCGAAGCCACCTTTTTCCATTTCATCAAAATGTTGACGTAAAAAAAGCAGCTCATACCTAGCTTCGCTTATACAAACTTGAACTTTTTTGAAATGTTTTTTAAAGTAGCTTTTATCGTCATCTGTTAAAAACAGTTCATTCTCTAAACCGTAGAGCGTTAGCGAAAGATCTTCTAATGTTTGTAATATGCTATTAATATGCCAAGGGTACGATTTTTCTTCAATAATGCATTTCAGTTTTGTAAAACCTGGGTGTAATTCTGAACACATATCTTTTGGGGCTACTCGATAAATCGGTAATTGAGAGTATATATTTTTTAAATCATATTCTGTGTTGCTTTTAGAAGTTTTTAAAAGATGCTCCTTTGATTGCACGTCATTACTGTTAACTATATGTGTATGTTTTTTAAAAACCAGCGTTGTTGAATGACTTTCACTTTCTTTATCGACATTGCTTAACATTTGTTCACTTAAATTATTTGTTGATTGAAACTCAGAAATACGTTTATGGTGGTTAGTGAGAGAGTATAGTTTTTCTATAGACTTTTCAATAACATTAATTTCATCAAATAAAAGTTCTGGATAAACCTCTTTATCGGTATTCGAGCTAATCTCGATTTCATTATTTCGTTTCCTAATTGCAATGTCACATGCAACAATTAGCTTACACAATACAGTTTTCAACTCATTGACATATTTAAAGAATACAGACGAATGACTAAGAATACCGGTATTGAAGCAATCTTTTTTACGATCTGATGTTTCATGTATTAATGCAGTAATCAGAGGTTTGATCAAACTTAGATCACTAACTTTTAACAACAGCAAAAAATCTTTATGAAACCTGTTAAGTTTCTTTTTAAGAGTTATTGCTGATGTTTTATATTTGTAAACCTTTTTACTGAGCATTTTAATAACTCCAAATATTTTACTTAGTTTTTTCTTTGAACAATTACTATTTTTTACATTTTCAACTTTAACCAAAAGTTTATTGAGGTTTTTAACAATATTTAGCGACTCAGAATGCAAATCAAAACATACGCTCTTTTTTCTACCAACTACGGATTCATCTTGATGAGAAAACTGATACTTTGGCACTTCTCCTGTAAAGAAATTGAAATAAATTTTAAAAACAAGTAAAACGCTTATGTTCCACAATTGGAATACAACGTACCTTTGTTAACATTAAGCAGAATCTCTTCTTTGCAATTAAGTATTTTTGCTAAATGACTTACAAAATTTATATAAGTCTTCCTCTCATTATCGCTTTTAACAATATGTTGCAACGTTGTATCAAAATAAAGCTCAAACTTATGTGTAGTCGATGTTAAAAAGTTTGTCAGTTGTTCTGGTTTAACGTCGATATTTTCCGACAATAAACCAAATAAATTATTATCAATTTCCAGTAACGGATCGCTCTCTTTTCCGTTTGCTTTTAAAAGTTTAAATATTTTTTTTTGATTTTTTGAATACATATAAAATAATGTTTTAAAATTAAAAATCATACATTTAACTATATTTTCAGACTCATTGTTTTTTGTAATTGTTTTACCATGTAGTATTTGTAAACTTTCAAGTTGTTCTTCTAAGAGCTCTACACGTCCTTTAAAATGTAGTTTCTCGTGAGTTATGCACTCAATTTTTTCGAGGCATTTATTCAAATCTTCTTTCAAGTGATTTTCTTGTTGTTTTATTGCCATTAGGTCTCTTCTAAGTTTTTGATTTTCGTACATATGTTGAAAGATTTGATCTTCAAAATCCATTTTAAGAAGCTCGTTTGATTGAACAGTTTTTCTTAAAGTTATTTGCTCGTGTTCTTTACATTGTAATACAATTTTCATTTCTTCGTTTTCTTTTATTCTCATTTTTGTTTCTTGTCTTTGATTTTGAAACTCATTTCTCAAAGTTGTCATTTCGAGTTGAAGAGACTCGTGTTTATTTTCAAGGTTACTTAATTCTTTTGATAAAGAACTTGTTTTTTCTGTTTGATCGTAGAGATTGTTATAAGCCTCGTGTAACTCGATTTGAATTTTTTTAAGCATGTTTTGTAACTTAATATTTTCTTCATCTAAACTGTTGTAAAAGTTATTTTCTTCATTTTTTCTTCCTTTCAGTTTAAGGTTATCCTCTAAAAGAGATTGCCGATCACTAGAAACAGACTTAAAACGGTTGTGCAACATGTTTAGCTCCTCAAGAGTTATTTTGTGTTGATTTTCAACCTGTGCAAACTTTTTGTTTATTGAATCTCTTTCGTGCGTTAATATAAGAATTTGAGTCGAGGAGACGTTGAGCTGCTCGTCGCGTTCTTTTAAAAGTTCCTTTAAATCTACATTTTCATTGGATACTTTAATTACTGTCTTATAAGCATAATCAATTTCATTTTCCAGAGTTTCAGTCAACTTACGAAATATTGTTATATTGTTTTTTACTTGATTGGATAAAAAATCTTGAATAAAAAGTGTATTTTTCTTGGGTTGCATTTCATTTTGAAAAACGCTTGTTGAGTTTGTTTGTGCTAATGTGGATTGATCTGTTTCAAATGCGTTTTTCAAAAAGCAATATTCTTTTGGCATCAAATCTGATACTATGGAAAGTTCACCAGCATTTTCCAAAAAATTGATGCTAACTTCATCGATCAAATTTTTTATTTTATCAGCTAAAGCTTTGACGTTAGCTTCAATGTCGCATTTCTTTAAAGAATCGCTACTAGGTATTGATAAGTTCAAAAACTTCTCTTCTTTTGCAGAAACAGTATTCTTTAAAGTACCCAAAATGCTTCTGTAAAAAAAATTCAGTTTTTATGAATCTTTTGCTTAAGATACTTAAAACAAGATATTTTAAGGTAAGAAAAATTATTTTTACTGAAATATATAATAATTCAGAATAAATTTTTTTTTTTAATAATGAAATTCGATTACAACTGCTAAACTTTTTCGAGTCAAAAATTTGAAATTTTTATCAAATCTCGAAATTTAATAAACCAGTTGAAAGTTTGGAGTAATTAGACTTATTTTGTTATATAAAACATTTTGAACCCTTCTAATAATTTTAAATTAAATATAAAAACTTTTTGAACTTTTCTAATAGTTTAAACATGCATCAAGGTTAGTATCTTACATAAAGTATTTTACATAAAGTTTAATGTTTTTATGCGTGTGCGAGCGTGTTTACAATGCACAAATATGATCAATGAAATCGACTTAATCAAAAAAAAAAAAGAATTTATTCTACATAACTATTTTATTTAGACAAAAGTATAATAAACAAAGTGAACCAGAACATCACCCAATAAACAAAGTGAAACAGAACATCACCCAATAAACAAAGTGAAACAGAACATCACCCAATAAACAAAGTGAAACAGAGCATCACCCAATAAACAAAGTGAAACAGAACCCAATATTACCATTATTATGATGTTAGAGAAAAAATTTACTAAAAAAAGTCAAATAAATCAAAAAATAATTTATCTTACAAACCTTATTTTTTTTAAAAAAAGTATATGATAAACATGGCCTTAAACAAGAAAAAATATCTTAAATATATTAAAATAAAATATATACTTAAGAAAATAATATTTAGCATATTATTTTCTTTAAAATTTTTTTATTAATTGTTTTAAATTAAAGTTTACAAATCCTTATTATTTAAATGGTTGTTAAATATTGTAGTAACGTTAGCCTGGGTAAGTAAAGCAGGTCTTGATGTAGACTTCAATTAATTTTGTAATAAATATTTACTTAACAAAAAAATAATTTCCTTGGAAGTTTACCAGTTTACTTTTAGGGGCATAAACTATGCCGTATAGTTGGTAACTGTTCTTATAAAAATATTATAGCTTACTTAAGAAACTCCTCTTTACTCAAGTGGCGTTCTTCTAAACAAAGAAATATAAGCGAGAGCAATAGTTTCCAGGCAGACTCAACTTGCACTTCCACGAGATTATTATCTTTTAAATCACTATCTTCATAAACATTAAACGTTTTATCTGAGTGTGAATTTGTTGCGTTAGCCATACTTGTAGCATACTTTAAAAAAAAAAAAATGTCCAAAACTTTTTTTTTCATCAATATAATCCCATTAAGACCCAAAGATGTCTGTTGACATTCTGAAGGTTTGCATGTGTTTGATAAAATCCACTGCTCTAAATAAAAATTTTTGTTTAATTTTGTTTAATGTATATATATATATATATATATATATATATATATATATATATATATATATATATATATATATATATATATATATATATATATATATATATATATATATATATATATATATATATATATATATATATATATATATATATATATATATATATATCCCGGTGGGAAATGAGCCAGCGACTAGCTAGCTTTATAGCAATTTTCTAGAGATTTATATATATATATATATATATATATATATATATATATATATATATATATATATATATATATATATATATATATATATATATATATCCCGGTGGGAAATGAGCCAGCGACTAGCTAGCTTTATAGCGATTTTCTAGAGATTTATTATATATATATATATATATATATATATATATATATATATATATATATATATATATATATATATATATATATATATATATATATATATATATATATATATATATATATATATATATATATATATCCCGGTGGGAAATGAGCCAGCGACTAGCTAGCTTTATAGCGATTTTCTAGAGATTTATTATATATATATATATATATATATATATATATATATATATATATATATATATATATATATATATACACAAAAATAGCTTCAAACAACTGGCATACCATGTTTGAAGGTCATACAGCTAACGATAATTTTTCCTTACTTGTTAATATATACAAAAAATACATTAAAGAACACATACCATCAACTTTAGTTCCACCTAAAATAAAAAATGCACCGTGGGTTACACCAGAGGTAAAAGCAGCAGTAAAAGAAAAACACACGTTATGACTCAAATACATTGCTGCAGGCCGCCATACTCATGAAAATTTACAAAATGCACATAAAGTTGCATGCAAAAATATTAAAAAAGTTGTTAAAGAAGCCATAATTTCATATGAAGATGATTTAGTTTATGCTTCTAAGTCTAACCCAAAATGCCTACACTTACATATTCGCAGCAAACTACGAGTTCATGAACAAATTTGCAGCCTACAAACAATGAACAACTCAACCACAACAAAAAAAAGACGAAATTTGTGCATTACTAAATAATTATTTCCAGACAGTGTTTGCAGTCGAACAAGAAGGTTCTATGCCATATTTTAATCTACGCACACAAACCATATGTCAGTTTGATGAAGATAGCATTCATGAGCGTGAAGTAAAAAAAAAACTAAAAAGGTTATCTGAAAATAAGGCCATGGTTTATGACAAAATACATCCACGCGTTCTTAAAAATTGTGCAGCATCTTTTGCAATTCCAATCACAATAATCTACAAGAAATCTATATCCACGGGTGATGTTCCAGATTTGTGGAAAAAATCTAATATTACACCAATTTTTAAAAAAGGAAGTAAACTTTAACCATCAAATTACAGACCAATATCACTAACATCCATAGTTTGCAAAGTCATGGAAAGTCTCATACATGATTGTATAATGAAGTTTTGCACAAAATATAATTTTTTATCCAAAGCTCAACATGGTTTTGTTCCGAAACGAGGGTGTGTCACAAATCTTCTCGAAGCACATGACATACTTACACAAAGCATGCACCTAGGGTTTCCTGCAGATGTAATTTATACAGACTTTGCCAAAGCATTTGATAAAGTTCCACACAGGTGCCTGTTACACAAACTACGAGCCTATGGGATAAGTAAAACCCTGCTTAAATGGGTTAAAAATTGGTTAACTAGTCGGCAACAGAGAGTAGTATTAGACGGAATAACATCTGAGTAGGTCCCCATGACTAGTGGTGTGCCACAGTGCTCGGTCCTTGGTCCACTACTATTCGTCTTATTTTTTAATGATTTGCCTGACACCATTGTACACCACACAAAACTTTATGCCGATGATGGTAAAATTATCGGAGTCATCAAATCTCTGCAAGATGCCAACCTTGTTCAAGCTCACATAGATAAAATAGTTGACTGGTCGCACAAGTGGTTAATGCCTTTTAACATCAATAAATGCAGAGTTATGCATGTTGGACGCACTAACAAGTCAACACATTCATACACAATGGCACAGCTAGATGGAACTCGTTGTACACTGGAAGAAACAATAGTTGAACGAGACCTTGGGGTTATTGTTTCCAATGACTTAAAGGTCAAAACTCAAGTTGAAACAGCAGTCTCAATTGCGAATCAAATGTTCAATTGTCTTCGAAAAGCTTTTTGTAGCCGCAGACTAGTTTTATGGAAAACATTGTACCCTGCATACATTCGTCCACATCTAGATTTTGCAGTACAGGTTTGGTCTCCTCACCTAAAATAAGATATTGTGATGATAGAGAAAGTGCAAAGACGTGTTACAAAAACAATATCTGAGATAAAACATTTACCATACGAGGAAAGATTACAAAAGCTGAAACTAACATCGCTTGAGGATCGCAGGAAACGAGGTGACCTAATGCAGCAGTTTAAATTTACTCAACAGATTGACGAAGTTAACTTTCATTTCACTCGAACTCTAATAAATTCGAAAACAAGTTACAATCTCCGTGGACACAATCAGCGATTAATGCCTCAACCAGTCAAAGGTTGCATTGAACGAGAAAACTTTTTTACAAATAGAGTAACAAAACAATGGAACGCTCTTTCACAGCAAGCAGTTGATTCACCATCTGTACATTTCTTTAAAAATTTTTTATTGTAAATCTCTTGATCAGCTGCTTTTCGCACCTTAACTGGGTCAACATAGGAGAGCCTGATGTAGCTCTTTAGTATAAATTACATTTACACTACAAGATGTACATAAAAGTGTTTTTGTTATTCTTCAATAAACATGATAGGACATAGGCTATTTTAATGCACACTTGTATTTATATGGAATTATTTGTACTAATTTTGAAATAAATAAATAAATAAAAATATATATATATATATATATATATATATATATATATATATATATATATATATATATATATATATATATGTATATATATATATATATATATATATATATATATATATATATATATATATATATATATATATATATATATATATATATATATATATATATATATATATATATCGTATCTCAGTGTCGGCATTCAAAAAAATTCCTATTATCTTTATTTGACACAGGGGACTAGTAAACTTTAGCGGCTTTTTGTTTTTTTGTTTTTTGATTTGTTTTTTACGTAGATTTGTTTATAACGTCAGATGTCATTCTTCAGTAATTTTTAAGTTTTTGTAACGGTTTGTTTACTTTTTTTGTTTGTATTAACGGCTAATGATTGCCTTCGGGCATGAAACTTTAAGTCCCGCTAATCAGTTGTTTTTATTCATCTAAATATAATTTTATATATATATATATATATATATATATATATATATATATATATATATATATATATATATATATATATATATATATATATATATATATATATATATATATATATATATATTTATTATAATACAATATATATATAATAATTATTAAATTAATATATTTTTTATTAAATATTGAAATATATATATATAATATAGTTATTAAATTATTATTTCCATAATTACACATTTTGCGCAAACAAGACTGGTCTATTTCACGATATACGCATGCAACACAGAAAGTCTTCTTCTGAATGTCAAGAGTGTAATCATTGGTGCAACTAGTTCCAGTTTTTTTTTTGGCTTTTCTTATTCTTAAATTTGTTTGTTGTTTGCGTTGCTTCAAAATATATCGTTGCTTCAAAATATAATTTAAAAGAATCCTTTACAATAACAAAAGGAAATTTACCCAATAAATGTATTGTTCAACTCTTTTATCTAATTGTTTCACTCAATTATCCTCGCTTTTTTTTTTTTTAACTAATAGAAGTATTTTTGTTTTTATAAAAAATATAGAATGTACTGCTTATAACTGAAAAAAAAAAATTAAAAATAGTTTTTAAAGTTGCTGCCTGTTGGTATTTGATCAATGCAAATTCGGTTTTACCTTGTGTATCCGGGCAAGAACAAAAATTCAAACTTAAAAACTAATTTTTGCAAGTAAATAAAATATAGGTTGAACTTTTTTTGGTTAGCTTATTATTAAATTAGAAGTCAAAATGTCTTATCATCAAGCCCCTTCGTAAAATAGAGAAAAAGTTTTAAAAGTTCTTATACGATGCAAGAGTAAAACTAAAAAGTTTGAGAGAAAAAAATTAAAAAGTTTTAAAAAAGTGATGAAGTTTGGAATAAAGAAAAAATCTTTGGAAAAAAAATAATTTACAAATCAGTACATATACGTATTGTAATATAACGTAAATATAAAAATAACCTATTATATAACGTAAATATAAAATTTACAAATCAGCACATATACGCAGTGGCGTACGAGAGTTTTTTAAATGTTTGAAATAACCAACTTTAAAACAAAAAGAATATTGCAAATTTTTTTAAGCTCATATGTATGACGAAAAGATTTTTCAAAAAAAAAAAATTACTGTCATAGGAGAATAGGAACAAGAAACCCCAAAAATCTTAGCCCTCCTGCCCCAAACGTGAGAGCAACAAATTGACAAAATATTTTTTGTACTATTTTCAAATAGACTTTTATTGATTGAGAAACTTTAAATTTCATAGTAAAATATTTTAGTGTTCAAAAATTATGACCATAAAAAATTTGCAACCCTCTCAAATTGAGGGGGTTTAAAATACAAGATGCAAATACAGTTTCGTTTTCACCAAATTTTATAGTTTTTTGTTGAGTTATATGAAAACTCATCTTGCCCCATTCGCCATGTTGCCCCGCTCATTCTATATTTAACTATTTAAGAGATTTAGAATTAAAGAAGGTTTAAAACATTTTGAAGATTTATCTAAATTCATCTATTTATATTTTTTATACAAAATTAAAACAGACAAACAAAAACAACGAGAAAGATATATCATAAAATAACGATATTGTTATTTCACGTTGTTACTTGTAAGATAATTTATGTAATAAAAGAGTTTTTGTGATTATTCCTGTGCAATTAATTAAATGTTGGCACAAAATAAGATAGACAAAAAAAGTATAAAACGTGTTTTTCCTAAAGAAATAAAAGTTAATATGATTTGTTTAAATTTATGCTTTTTTGAAAAAAGTATAGTTATTGTATATAATTTATGCAACTGTTATTTTTAAAAGCATAATTAAATTTAAAACGCGATTGATCAAGATTCTTTATCAATTTATAAATCTTTACCTACTTGTGTATGCAACAGCAAGTAGCATTAGATTTGATTACAAACAAAAAAAAGTAGCAACACAAAGGGGAATTGTCAAAATTTTTAATCAAAAGGTGGGCAACCTCTGAAGTTACACCAGGTATATTTCAGTTATTTTAAAGCATTCCAAAACTTTTGTTATGTTTACTGAAAAATAATATTTTGTTAATATTTTAGACGATGTTTAGTTGTTGAAAGATGAAGTGTCCGAATGCTTTTCAGTAAACCAAAAGTGTCAACTTAAGACCTTCTTCTTCGACAGGTAGTCCAGCTCAACACAGTTTATTTAGTTTTAAAATCATAACTTTAATTATCATTTAAGGAGTAAAGTTCTGAGTTGCTGAAGCAAATTTTTTCTCAAAATTTAACAACCTTTGAAAAAAATATGAAACTTCTTCACAAACACCACTATAATGGTGTCATTGACAAGAGAGAGAAAAAAACCTAATCACTTTGTTGTTCATCGCATTAGCCTTAACTGACTTACGGGGTCATTATTTAAAGTGTTTCTGGATCATTTGAGCAAACTTAGAGTTAAATTTTTCCTGGTATTTTTAACAATATGACAATAGCTCACAAGCAATAGCTCACACAAAAAATTGCAAATATTTAGCAATGATTGTGCAAAAAAATAAATCCTGGTCGCTGAATCAAGAAACTTTTATAAGAAGCTCAACAACATCAAGAAAATTGATTTTGATTCAAGCTGTTACTTTAAACTTTATTGTGACTTGTGACATTAGGCTGACCAACATTCTGTGTGGGCTTTAGACTTGTATTATAGTCATTTTTATTTATGTATGCATATTTACAAAACTTGTTTGATTCTAAAAATTCTTTTATTTTATTCAACACACTTACGTTTAATGAGGCCATCAACACACTTACGTTTAATCAGAAGCAATTCTAGGAATAAAATGAGGGGGAGGGCAGAGGGCGAATCCTTAAAATGTACCAAGTGCTTTCTTAAAAGAAAAAGATCCTTATAACTGAAGATCACCCAATTATATTTCTCAAAAAACAAACCGTAACTTAAAAATCGTCTTCATTTTAGAGAGGAAGGAGGGGATATTACACCCCACACACCCCCGTAAAATTGCCCCTGAATGTAAATATTTTGCATTATTGCATAGCAGTTGTAGTAGATGAGAGAAATTACTGCATTTTTTTACAAAACTCATTATTAAATCCAGTTAAATTCTTCATTTATATTTTGAAAATATTATTTAACTTTTTGGTAAAATTATTTTTGAAGAAAGATAAAAGTGGATTAATTTTAATCGAAAGTACACCAGTAGTTTTTTTAAAATTGTATATTTTTTTTATATCTGTTTCCATAAAACTTAAATATTTTAAAATCTTTTCGATAATTTTTTTAGTTTGATCCACTCAAAATTTGATTATATTATGTAGTAATAAGCAAATTTAATAACTCAATAAATAAGAAGCAATAAATAAATAATAGTACTTGTTTTGTACGGATGTAATAGAAATGTGTTTATAGCATTTTGTGATACAGTTTTATTATGAAAACGCGTAGCAACAGAATAAAGAAAAAGCTGTTACGGATAAAAATTGATATCGAATTGTTTGAAATATTAGATCTAGATTTTTTTATTTGAAAATTGAAAAAAAAATTCAAATCTGTAATAACTATATTGGTAACAATATTGTTATTACAGATTTTTTAAAACACAATTTTTAAAAATAAAATTTAAATTTAACAACTTTTAAAAAAATAATTTTTTAATTTTAATTATTGCAGCAACTTTAATTATTAATTGTTTTGATAAAGTAAATCAAAAAAAAGTGAGTTGAACGAACGAACATCAAAAAAGTTTACAAATATATTCCCTGCACAAACTAGAAGTGATTAATGTCACTTATATATTAGGTTTAGATATTAGATTAATGTCACTTTATATATTAGGTTTAGATATTAGATTAATGTCACTTATATAGTAACTTTTTAAAAAATTCAAATTCTATGCAGAGCATAATTTTTTTTAGTAACTAGGCTTACATAAGCAAACAAGCTTATGTAAGTTACATAAATAAACAAGCTCTAAAAATGTATATTTTGATTATAAATTGCTCTTATCATTACTGCATGGTAATGAAAATGAACCGCTCTAGTTTATTTTATTTCTAGATATTATTTTCCTTCCATTTTATTTTTAACATAATTGTGAATTATAATTTTTCCTCTTCTTTTATGTAACAGTAAAATTTAAAATATATTCAATTTAACATTTAGTTTAATTTACGTACCTATTTCATTCCTGTAGTCACTAAAAATGTCTATAAGTTTTTCAATTTTCAGTAAACTATCCTGCATCATATTCAGTGTCTTGTGCATAGATAAAAACTTATTACTTTCTTCAAGTAACCACGTTTGGTCAATTTGACAACTGTTGCTAGGAAACCAGCTATGATCCATTTGAGAAACACTGTCAAAGCTATTTTATTTTTGTTTGCATTTTGAATTAGATTATTTCATTACAATTTTCAAGTTTGTTTGCTGCAAAACGTTTGAATGACTTTGGGTTACTCTTGGCTGTATGCAATTTAGTGTTTTCGTAACTTTTTATTGGGTATGAGTGAATTAGCTGAAGTTTACCTGGTTTAAATTAAAAATAAATACATACAATATAATACAAAGACAATTGAAATTAAGTCAGACTATTATAAGTTAAACTTTAAATATTAAACGAGAACGAAAATATTTCAAAAGTTCGAATAACAAACTAAATTGTACATTGTTGTACGTATTTAATAAGAATGTACAAAATAAAAAACCTTTAACTTCCATATGCAGCAAACAATAAACATCATATAACAGTTGAGGAGATTTTATAGTTACACTTTCAGGCCAATATTTTTAAAAGAAGCAAGGAAAATTTTTATAGTCACATCCATTATCAAAATCTCCTCGTTTTACAGTGTATTTTGAATAATATGTAGTTATTACAAAAAACAGAAACTACTTTCTCGAGAACATATCTTTCTTTAAGCAATGGCGAATTGAGACTTCTTGGGGTCTGGGGTTATTTTTATTTTTGGAGACCTTTTTATGGGCCAGAGCCTAAAAATGACTAAAAAAAAAAATGCCTCTAAAATTTTTGGGGGCTCCTAAATTTGCGGGGCCTGGGGCTATAGCCCCCCTTGATCCGGCACTGTCTTTAAGAGCGACTTTCTGTAAGAATCAAACAACAAACTTTTAATAGTAATCACTCCTAAAGATGATGTTTTTTTTTAATATGATGTTGCTATTCAAAATAAAATCTTTATTCCAAATTAAAAAAAAAAAAAGTTATGGGTACTTTATGTATTGGACTTTAAAGTTTGACAAATTTTAAGGAATATTGACCAAATAGTGGAGAAAGCAATTTTAAACTTCAAAAATAGAACAAACTATATACTTTTCAATGGTTACTTCACCTAATTATTATTTGTTGGCTAGTTCAGAATTAAAATTAATAAACTAGTTAAACATTCAAGCTAAAGTTAACATTTTCTGTTTTAACATTTTTGTCATTTTTGATTTTTTGTCATTTTTGACCTCCACTTTCATCTAAAGCTGTAAATATTTCATACCATTTTTTTATTGTCATAAATCTTTATCAACTATAGTACCTAACAATACAAACATACTTATTATAAATTAGGTTGTTGGGTGCCCGGCGCCGTGGCTAGGTCACTGGCGCTCACTAACCTCCTAGTCACTAGTGCTCTTGATAGTTTTCTACAAACTTTTGTAAAACTTTGTTTTAGATAAGCCAATTTACAAAATTGCTAACCTATCTAACACATATATGTGATAGGTATCTATCATATATAGCTAAACCATCAACAGCGGTAGTAGCTGAGAACCATACTAAAAACTTGGGGGAGATGAGTTGACTTAAAAATAAATGTAATTATAATTGTTAAATTAATTTGCGAGTAAAACAATACATTTTAATTACATTTTACTTCTTATATAAAAGTTTAAACAAAAGTTTATAAAAATATAGGTTAGTTTTAATAAAAAACGAAAAACATTTTTAAAAAATTGTAATTTTTATTTTATTCTTTTTAATAAATAGAAATAAAAAATACATATACTTAAAAGTTTTTGTCATTAAAATCACATATGATCGTTACAACCGTTACAAATACGTATTTACTTACACAAGGCATAACATATCCACCATAACAATATAATCAACAAAAGCACACAAAATGAAAAAAGTATAAATATATTCTTTTAATAACTAGAAAAGCTAACTTACTAATTGGAGGTAGAAAAACAAGATTTTTTTTTGAAAGAGTCATACAGTTTATTATTTGTTACTGAGGTCTAGTTGTTACCACAAAAAACTCGTCAAACTTTCTTTATTGAAACCAGATTTTAAAAAGTTTTTTTTCTGACTAATAATCACTTCTAAAAATGCTTTTTTAAAAAAATATTTTATACTTCAAAGCTTTCATTGTTATAATATATTATTGACTTTAAATATCTTTTAATTATTTTCTATTGCTGATGATATTGCATTATCAATAGCTGTTCCGTTAATTTGTCATTTTTTGTCATTTGTACAATGCAAATAACAAAAAATGGTACTTACTTGCAAATAAACTATAACTATAACTATATATATATATATATATATATATATATATATATATATATATATATATATATATATATATATATATATATATATATATATATATATAATATATATATATATATTTATATATACATATATATATATATATATATATATATATATATATATATATATATATATATATATATATATATATACATATATATATATATATATATATATATATATATATATATATATATATATATATATATATATATATATATATATATATATATATATATATATATATATACAAGTTATTTGTATGTAATTTGAATAAATAATTTCTTTCAAGGCAACTTGGTTAGACAGCTTAAAAACAAGATTTAAGTCTGAAAGGTCTAAAATGCACAATGTTTCTTCAGTACAAGAACATAAAAAGTTTGGTACAACGCTAAAAAGAAAGGAATTTTATATTGAATGTGCAGTAACTCCAAAACAGAAACGGTCGGAGGTCGGTATCTTAGAAATCAGTTATTCAAATTCTGTATTACTTATTATATGATTTCCAAAATACTGAAAAACAATATCGTTGCTTTAAATTTTATTCAATTTTGTTTAAGATGCAAACAAACGCTAATTTAAACGAAATAAAAACGAGGATTTGCTAAGCTGCATTGCACACAAAGAAACCATTTCAAATGAGTTAAAAAAAAGTCTTCCTGATATGTCAAAGGTAAGAGATCGAATGGCAAAAACTTTTGTGCATTGAAGGAGAATAATACTTAATTCTACCACAGCACAAATACTAGAAGAGTATCCAGCATTAAGGATTGCTACAGAGGTGTGTTTTAACTTAAATTTATAAATCGATGGAGTAATAATAATTCATAGTTGATAAATTTTAATAGTTAAAATTATGATTTGTAGTTATTAGAAGAGGTAAATCTCATAACTGGAAATGAAGTAACCAATAAAATAAACCAGTTCTTTACTGCTGAAAGATCTATAAAAGTACTGGAGATGGCAAAGTCGGGGAAAAGAAATGCTAAAAATATTGACCTGGTGACTAACATTGTGGCTGCCATAGGATCTGAGTCAAATGTCAATATAGAAGGTTTATAATGTCTCTTTATTTAATACTTATTTTATGTTTATTTATTTAAAAAAGTGTATACATATTTTTAGCACAACAAATAAGAGCATCGATGTTGTGCTTGCCCGCCATGTTTGGTGAAAAAATTGAAAGATGGGTCGTGATAAATAAGGTCTCGTAAGTGTTTTGAAGCTACCATTCTCGATGAGGTTTTTTGATTTTTAAAGTGTTTTTTTTTTTTACTTTTGTCGATATAAATGTAATGTTTATATTGACAGACAATTCTGATTTTTTTAGGAATCAACTCTAAGCACACCAACAATAAATATTACTTGCTCAAATCAAGCCAATATTCTACATTTTGAAGATGTGCATATAGCGATCTTCCTCGATGGTTTAGTTATTTGTAACGTTCTATCCATTGATGAAGCAATAAAAATCTTGATAGCATCTTACTGGGTTTTTGAAATAGCCTTCGATCCGCGACTGCAAAAAACATTGACATTTCTAGCCAATTATATTTGTGGGCTTAGTGAGTACTGTGTCAGTCCACCGGTTCAGCGACTGTTGAAAAAATTGTTGTAAACTTCTATTTGTAATAAAAGTAAAATAGCTTTTTTTTCACATATTGCGTCGTTGCACATGTGTTGTTATCACTGCGTCGTTGCACATATGTTGTTATCACTGCGTCGTTGCACATGTGTTGTTATCACTGCGTCGTTGCACATATGTTATTATCACTGCGTCGTTGCACATGTGTTGTTATCACTGCGTCGTTGCACATATGTTGTTATCACTGCGTCGTTGCACATGTGTTGTTATCACTGCGTCGTTGCACATGTGTTGTTACCACTGCGTCGTTGCACATGTGTTGTTATCACTGCGTCGTTGCACATGTGTTGTTATCACTGCGTCGTTGCACATGTGTTGTTATCACTGCGTCGTTGCACATGTGTTGTTATCACTGCGTCGTTGCACATGTGTTGTTATCACTGCGTCGTTGCACATGTGTTGTTATCACTGCGTCGTTGCACATGTGTTGTTATCACTGCGTCGTTGCACATGTGTTGTTATCACTGCGTCGTTGCACATGTGTTGTTATCACTGCGTCGTTGCACATGTGTTGTTATCACTGCGTCGTTGCACATGTGTTGTTATCACTGCGTCGTTGCACATGTGTTGTTATCACTGCGTCGTTGCACATGTGTTGTTATCACTGCGTCGTTGCAAATTTTCAAATCTCATCAACAGGAAAAAAAAATTGCAAAAAGCAAAATATGTAAAAAACTAAGTTTGTCTTTTACGGTGGAAAAATATACCTCATATATAGGGGTATAATAAAATACCTTAATAATATTCTACCTTAAAGGGTAGGATATATGGTATACCCTTGAAGGTAGGCGAAATGGTAGATAAATATATCTTTTAAGGGTAAAGTTGCCTACCTTAGTAACTTATACCCTAAGGTGTTTTTTACTACCTTTTAAAAAATACCTTATTATGTAGGGTATATTTTTCTACCTTAAGGGGTAGGATATGAGATATCCCTTTAAAGGTAAAAATTCCTACCTTTTTTTTTTAGTGTATATATATATATATATATATATATATATATATATATATATATATATATATATATATATATATATATATATATATATATATAGTTCTAACATTTTCAAAATCTTAGAAAATGAAAAATACTTTACTTTTCTTTACACTTTTTTTTTTAATTAAAATATTTAAAATTATTGTTATTTATTTAGTTATTTGAAAACTTCTTATTAATAGTATAGAGTAAAACGAGTAAAAGTATAGTAAAAAATCTTTGCCCGAAAATCAACTTTTTTTTGTCTTTATTGTCAAATATAAACTCCGACACATGTCAATATGGGTATTTGGGATATGAATTTTTTAAAATAAGGTTTTCAATATAAAAAACAGATGAACTTTGATTTGAAAGTAACTGAAAAGTCATTGGTTTTATTTAATTTTTGAAAAAGATCACCCACCATGACCCTTGATTACACACTGGCTCCCATATATCAGTGAATTTTCTTTTTTCAAAACATATATAAATCTTGGTCTCAAAAGAACCAGAATTTCATAGAGATTTTGGAATCAATAATAATTTCAAATAAAAATGAAATGGTTAAATTTTATATACAAAACAATTTTTAACTAATAATCGAAAAGGTCGTTTTTTATGAAATTATTTTTTGCAATATTTTTTTTAAAAAAGAGTTTTAAGGTACTAATCGGCAGAACTTTTCACAACAGTCCATCAAACAGTGGTTTTCTGATATTCGCAGGTATCTATCAGAAAATGATTGCTTAGACATTCTATATTAGCCTAATCAGAACTTTAACATCGATGAGTTTAAAAATAATGAGACTTTTTTTTGGAAAAAGCTCAAAAAACGTCTCTTACAGCAAATCCTAAAAGGATAATATAAGAATTACTGTTTTAGGTAAACAAAATATATACAGTATGAAAAATCTTTGCCAATAAATTATTGCTAACTCTGAAATACTTTTATTACTTATAAAATTGAAAAAGAAAAAAATTGCAAAATGCTTTCATATGATTTGTTTTTTAGATTAGCATAATAACATTACTTATACAGCTAATGTTAATGCAGCTGGATTATTTCCTCCACCGCTTATAATATATCAATATGTGCATATTCCAATGAATATTTATGTATCTATATCTCCTAAACTGGCAGCCATTGGAAAATCTGAAAGCGGTTTTATTAACCACGAAGTGTTATATGAGTACATTTGTAAGGCTTTTGACCAATAGTTGGCATCTAAAAACATTACAAAATTAGCAATAGTGTGATCAGATTGTCACAGAAATACTTAAAACTTGCATTGAATCTCCTCTTGTCAAGAGACTAGGTGATCTCAGCATCATATAAATCTTGATTTCCCCTAACTGTACTCAAATCATGCAGCCTTTTAATGTAGGGTCAACCTATAAAACATGTTTAACGGTTGTCGAGGGTTATAAAACATAAAATACAATTCTTTTGTTACAGAAGAAAAGGTTGCTAGTCTTTTTTTTCCGATGTACTTAAAAACAATGGCCGAGACAAAAATTAAAAGAGATTTCTAAAAATGTCTTTTAGTCCTGACAATATTGACTACACAAAGTTAACCTTGGAACATGTGTAACCTAGAGAAACATGCTAGAGATAGGTGCTTAAAAAATTCTGGGGATGAGCGCCCATTTAATGCTGTCAATTAAGGTGGCTATTGAAGCTTCAACCTAGGCAATTAGAGACACAAACTAGAAGATCCACAAATCTAAGTTCTCCTAAGAGCTAACCCTCCTCTAATGGAATTGTTTGCCATTCTTCTTCTTCTTTTCGTTTGCCATTCTTCTTCTTCTGATAATTAAACAACAAAAATGATGCCTTTTTTTTCTGTGGTAGCGTTTAAACAAAAAACCATCAGTCAAAAAGAAAGTGCTGAATGCTCAATTTAAGTTGTAATTTTCCAATAAAAACAAAAGAAGAAAATCCAAAGCAGTATCTGATTTAGATAAAAACAGTTATAAAGTGACTACTCTATGATTCAAACGTTGTTCTATGAAATTAATAAAAAGGTTGGATAAAAACATTTAATTTTCTCTTTGTTTGAAAAATTTCATACCGTTATATACAGAAGATTTCTAGTGTAACTTATAACTAAAGTAAAATAGAAAATGTATTTAAAACATTGATCCTTTGACAATAGTTTATACTTGAAACAATTTTGACAATAGTTTAGACTTGAAACAATTTTGACAATAGTTTAGACTTGAAACAACTTTGACAATAGTTTAGACTTGAAATAGTTTAGGCTTGGACTTGAAAATAAATCTTTAATAAAAAGACAATTTTAATAAAATCTAAAAAAACTGTTTTAATAAAAAAATTGATGATAAAAAATACTAGTAAAAACAAAATTTCCCAGATGCCAAATATATATTTAAGCTAGTGGTCGCCAATTGGCTCTTTCGGGGGCTAAAATCCTCGTATCTATTATCGGAAGTTATTTATTCTATCGTATAGACCAACTCTCGATTTCTAGGTTTCGACTTAAAAATATAAATTTATGGAAAAACGATTGAGAAATAAATTTATTTATATCGAACTAAGTCCCTAAAAGCGGCGAACACTGGCTGTTTTACCATATATACTATTTATACAAAGTTTTCGAGGCTACAAAGGTTTCTTTCATATCCCTAACTACCGCTATTTCATGTTTGTTTGTATTTTATCGTTAAGCAAATTATATTTCGTCTTTATTCGTAATTATTTGGCTTACTTTCGCTACGGGTGGGTTTACTTTCGCATCCGGTGGGCTTATTTTTGCATCGGATGGGCGAGTACTAACCATAGAAAACTAAAAAAACTCTTCAACAAACAAAAAGATATAAGTAGAAAAGTATTTGCAGCAATTTATTTGCAAACTATTTCTATGTGTGCTCGGAGCTTTAAATGTGTTGAACTCAACTTAATGCGAGTTTTGTTGTTCATAGTTTTAAACTAAATATTAAATAGCATATTCTATTATTTTTGTTCTTTGTTTGCAATTGATAACTTACCCAGCGTTCTGAACGTCTGAACTGGGTAGTAACAGAATAATTAGTTTTGAATATAGCTGTATACCGAGAATTTTGTAAAGCATAGGTGATTCATTTTTCGAAAATCAAATTAAGATAGATGATATTTGTTTACTTTGAATACAAAAACAAGAATGTTGATTTTGAATTGTTTTATGTGTCCGTGTTTATTATTTAACTAAAATAAAAACAAACTTTAAAAAAAAAATTATAATAATAACAAAAAAACGAAGTTTCAACGTATGGTGAAGTTTTATAAGTTAAATATTTACATATAATTTGTTTAGGTCTAAAGATAGGATTTCGTATCCTTTTTAAAAAATCCTTTAGAATTTAGATGGACGAAACCTTTTTTTCTGTTTTTTTTTTTTTTTTTTTTTTTTTTATCAAGTTAATTTTTTTTTTCCTCAAATTGTATAAAATTTAATATGAATTTTTAGCTATACAAGTTTATAAAAGTAATTGCCAAAAGTATGTTTTATCCACTTAGTTAATTAATTGCGCTTTATTATACTTAATTAATTACTTTGCCAATTTATATTTATTATTTTGAAAGATCAAATCTTTTGATTTAAAACCATTTATAATCAATTTAATAACATTAGTAGAATTTCGATTTTTCGGTAGTTTTCCTCAGTACCTCGAATTTATATGTGCCAATTAGCCAGCTTGGATTCCGGTTGAACGAAATACAACTTAAAACATTGGTAACAAACCCAAAATACATATACAAACACATACGCAGTTGAATAATTTAATTTCATATCAAAATTATCGGTAATATTATAGTAACGGTTGTAAGTTGATAGTAATACATTTGTTACATCGTTGATAGTTGTAAAATTAATATCGTTAATATCGTTAATTAAAAAAGACAGGTGCTTGTCATTTATGAAAAAGTTTTGCTTAGATTTAGTTTTAAACTTGTTAATAAAAAAAATTTTTTTAACTAAATATTAAAAAACATATTCTATTATCTTTGGCCTTAGTTTGCAATTGATAACTTACCCAGCGTTCTGAACGTCAATTTTAAAGCAATAAAAAAGATGGAAAAAACCTTTTTATCTGTCCCTTTTTTTTTTTTTTTTTTAATCAAATCGATCTTTTTTTTTGCTTCAAAATTTTATAAAAATTCAATATTAATTTTTTGCTTTACAAGATTGTAAAAGTAATAGCGCGTAGAATGCCAAAAGTATGTTTCATCCACTTAGTTAATTAATTGCGCTTTATTGAATTTAAATAATTACTTTGCGAATTTGTAATTAAGATCAAATCTTTCGACACCAATAATAATCAAGTAACTTTAGTAGTATTTCGATTTAAAGCAAAATAATAAAAATTTAAATAATAAACTAGTAATGCTAAATAATATTAAAGTTCCCAAAAAAAGAACACACAGAAATGCCCGACTTTTAACGTTTCTAATATATTTGTACTAGTAAGCAACAAAGAATAAAATAAAAAAAAAAAAAAGCTAAAATACCGATTAATCTTGATGAGAAGTCGTTAAAGTAATTTAATAACGGTTGCGAAAAATTTAAATTAAATAGTCCGTCACTCTTTAAAAAGAACGCGCAGAATTGAAAGATAATTTTGATCGTGCAAAATTAAATAAGCTTCCTTTCTTTTATTTTTATTTGATTTTTTCTTCTTTTGTGTTGAGAAAGCAAACACATGTCACAAATGTCTTTTTGGATTTACATGTTATTAAAATTATTAGCTGGAAATCTTTTTTGTAATCTCGTTATTTGTTTCGAACAATATCAATACAATAGAATAAAATTGTCGAGTTTATGAACAACACCAAATATTTATTTCATAACTCTTCACAACTCTCTTAAGCTCTGCGTGTTACTATAGAAGCCTATATTCCCGATGTAACCATAGAAACTCTGAAGAATTGTACAACTAACTCTTCTATAATCATATATAGAAAGAAAAAAATACTTTAAATTCAGAAAATAATCAGTATATTCAAAAAGATTTTATTTAAAGTTCTTGAAATAACTTAAGTTCTTTCTTACAAATATAATTAAACTTTTTTATAACAAGATAATACTTGTTCTGAAAAAATTTCTTATATCTCAATCGAATGAGATATAAGATTAATCATATACCGTATAATTTGTATACATGCATTATGAAATTTTTATCACACGCTTGCAAGATGGTGGATGGTTAGGATATAGAAATTTTTTTAAATATTTAAACTAGAATTATTGTTTAAATTTTTAAATATTTTTACCAGACATCCGAAAAATTCTGTTACTTCGGATAAATGCAGATAAAAAAAAGTAAGATTTATTTATGCAAAATATTTAGGTTAGGTTTTTTAAAACATAGTTTGTGAAATTCAAAAAAATATTTTAGCAATTTTAAGTTAATTTTATAGGTGAAAAAGTTTTGAGAGAAAAACTTTTTTTTTACTTTTTTTATTAATTTACTTTTATTAAAACTAATCATATTTGCCTGTAGGTCTTTTTTAATACTCGACCAATTGTGTATTTTTATTTTTATTTTTTGTTACTTGATTATTTTTATTTATTTTTCATTTGTTATTTTAGATGAACAGTTGTTAAATTAAATATACTACGAACTGCTAATTATGTAAAAAACTGCATATTACTACATTCTGAATACCCACATTATCATATAAAGTACTTTTTTCTGTTGAAACCTTAAAAAAAAATTTCCACAGTGTTGTGCCAGGTTTTTGTACGGTCAATATACAAACTGCATTAATTGCATTATCTGCATTAACTACAAAATTATGACAAAAATTGTCAAAAATGTCTAAAGTACCGTGTTACTATTTTTTGCATTTATTCTCTAAAACTTTTGCCATTAAATCAACCAAATTTTTCAGGTTGTGGCGTTCACAACCAATTTTCAGCGTTACACTCTGTATTTGAAAAGAGAAATGTATCATTAGTAAAACATCCAAATATACTGGAGGATGAATTTGATGTATTTAACTCTTTTAGCGTGTTTCTAGAATGATTCATGTTTATCAACGTTGCTAGTGTTATTTAGATCATAATGTTATTTAGATCGTTGTGTTATTTAGATAACTCTGTTATTTAGATCACTTTGCAAGTTTTGATTGCCTTGAAGTTAAACCTAAATCAATATCAATATGTGGGAATGGGGTATTGTAAGATATATCAAAAAATAGGTTACATTTTTTCCTCGTTTAAAAAATTTAATACAACCAAATAAACTTTTATTGGTTAAATGTAAATTATTATTTGTCAATTTGGTTTTACTACATAGCAGTATGTTACAGTGATAAAAAAAAGAAACTTACGACGTGTTTACATTCTTGTAAACTTGTTGATTAAACTTAATTGTTCTTGTAAAAACGTTTGCTCTTGACAAGGTTGTTAGGGAAAAGAAACGATCAACAATTTGACATTATAAAAAATATAGCTTGTGTTTGTGCTGATTTTTTTAATTATTTAAACAATTATTTTATAGATAATATACTATATATAATATAACCGCCCCAATAGGAGCGGCGAAGTAACTATTTACACAAAAAGCGATATCATAGTCAAGGAAGTTAATTCTACTTAGCTCAACTCAACATCAATTAAGTCTAGCAAAAAATAAAAATCGGTGAAGAATCGTTTCTCCTCGGCTGCTTATATCGCCTTCACAACTTTTATGATTAGGTTCTTACTCAGTGTATTACGTTGATCAAGGCCGCTCGGCAAATATTGCCTTACATAAACTCCTCGGTAACAATTTCAATTTTAGCCATATATTTTATGAGTCTATTTAAGTTAGCGGTTAAACTCTGACTTTGCAATTCTCGAGTAAGTCAAACATCGAGCAACAAAAACAATATTATCTATTAAACACCTGTTCTATAATAATAAACTCCAACAGATCGGTCTAACAACACTTAAAGAACACTGTAAAAGAGCAAATCTTATCGAGCAATTTAAAACAACGCGTCAACTTGAACTTTTACCTTTTTTCGTCCCGCAAAAACTTTCAAACAGCAAAGCCAAGTGTATTTTGAGAGGGCATAACCAAAAACTAGAGCGCCAGTTTGTACGAAATTGTAAAGAGTGACTTTTTTTTCAAATAGAGATGTAGTCTCATGGAATGTGCTTTTCTAAGCAGCAGTAAATGCTCCATTAAAAATTTTTTGCCAAAACAACATAAAACGTAACTTTTAGAAATATAGTTGCTGTTTTATCTGTAGCTTCTGTGTTTTTGTTTTCGTCTGCATAGAAGGGCCTGGTGTGGTGCACCTCTTCATCAAACAATAAATAAATTTATTGTGTTTTGTTTTTTTGATCACTGAATGAAAGGAAAAAAAAACTATAACCTGTTATATTTTTTAGAAAAAAATCTGAAAAGTCAGCTAAAAAAATAAATAAATGAAAAAAGGAAAACGAGGTTATTGCTGCAACAGTGTGCAGTCACATAAACGTTCAAACGTTGTTCAGAATAAGAAAATGTTTGCTGAAATAGAAACATTTCTGGCAGTTGTACCATTTTTTTTTTTTTTTACCCAGCTCACTGGAACTGCATGGATAATGAGTACCTTATACAAAATCAATTGTTTTATCAATGAGTATTAATCGATTAAGTACCTTATACGAAATCCACTAAAGTCGAAACAAGATGAACTAGATTTATTTAAACGCAGTGTATATTTTTAAACGCTTTTTTTTTTTTATTTCATTTATTTATATGGCCGTTCATATAATATTTGCAATTTTTGTGTATTAAAATATAAAAAGGTAGTAAAAACAAGAAGAGAAGTTAAAATAAAGCATAAATTATTATCGAGATTATAATTTTTAAATTTTAATTCTTTAATATTACTTTCACTTGTTAACTTATTTTTAAAATAATTTACTTTTAGTTAAAAGTTTAGTAATTAAAGTGCTTCAATCTTTCCGTACAAAAATAAAATATACATTATATCATAGTTTTCCAGGTATGACCACTTCATTTGATCATTTACATGATCACTTCCAGGTATGACCACTTTATATGATTCATGGAATAAGATATTCCTTACATTGGGTCCTCTAATAGTTATTGAGAATTTTGTTGAATCGTGTATATTTTTGGATTGAACATAGTTATTACTTGAATATTTTGTAAGGTATATATTTAGTAAAACAATTATTTAATTGGTTTAAGTGTAATAAGTTAACCTTGAATACTAATAAAACAAAATGGGTTTTATTTCATTCGATTACAAAAAAGCGATTTCTCCCATTAAAATTAACTTTAACCTTTATCGATCAAAAGGAAATCGAAAGAGATTTTGTTACAAAATTTTTAGGTGATTATCTTGATGAAAAACTTTTCTTGGAATCACTATATTGATTATATAAACACAAAAATTTATAAAAATATGGGAATCCTATATAAATTATGAATCTATCTCAATAAGAAAGTCTTAATTCAACTTTATGACTTATTTTTACATAGCTATTTAAATTATGCCAATATTGCTTGGGGAAGTACAGAAAAAAGTAAGTACTTTATCTCTGTCAGAAAAGCGTAATCCGTAAAATCAATTTTGCAAATCGCTTCTCTCATTCGAATCATTATTTTATTAAAATGAGAGTTCTAAATATATACGAGTTAAATGCATTTAATAATTTATGTTTTGTATATATGTGGATAAATAACTTATTCCAAGTTGTCTTCAAAGGTCTTTTCTCTTACCAATCAGTAAATATATTTTGAGAAATAACTTTTTAAATGAACCTTTTTGTCAAACAAACTTTAATCAATTCTGTATTACCTATCAAGCGCCACACCTTTGGAATAAAGTTGTTTTGCAAAATTTTAATTTTGAAATACCTATACTTTTTGCCTTTTTAAAAAAAAAACTGAAAAATCTTATACTTTCATTAAATAATATATTGAGTTATTATTAGTAGTAAAAGTTAAAAGTATATTTTGGTCTACTTTTTTTATTGCTTATATGCATGTTTACCTTTATAAAAATTTATTCCTACTTATTTTATTTATTGTTCTTATATTTTTTACTTTATAATTTATGTTGGTTTACTCTAGTACAAAATTCCGATGAGATGATCTTCTTGATCTTTCTTCAGACGCAGATTATTTACCTTGCAATTTTGTAAAAGTTTATATATTTTTTTTATCTTATCTTTGTTAAATGCTTATTTAAGGTTCTGACGAATAGATCTTTGCGATCTTCCTTCAGATACCTTGTTTATATTTGTTATAGTAGCTATCATTGTAATTTTGTATTATTATTTTTATCATTGGTTATTTAAAGCTGTATAACGATTAATAAATGTAAACCAAAAAAGAAAAAAAAAAAGTAACGTGTGCTGATTTTTTTTAAATAATGGAATAATTAATTTTGGTATTTATTTCATATCAACCATATATTTAAATATATATATATATATATATATATATATATATATATATATATATATATATATATATATATATATATATATATATATTAATTTTTTAAATGTAAGAGACGGTGTACGTTTGATAATTATCTAATTGCATGTTTTTGTTTGCTTAATATTTTTTTTTTATCTTTTTTAGCTATACTGATGCTGCAATAAGCATAATTTGCATAATTAAAATAGAAATAGATAAATTAAAAATGTGTTTTAAAAAGCATGGTTGATTTAAGAGAGATTTTTTTCTATATAGAGTAAACCAATATTTTGAAAATTTCTTTTTCAGTCATGCTTATGTGATCTTTCTTAAGTTATGATTTGGTTGAGAACGACACACTTATAAGACAACCTAAGAACTCCATTGAACATTCTCTTTTTACAATGTGATGACCAATAATAAACTTTGGAAGT